TATAACATTATTAACAAGGAGAGAGGAGAAGGAATAAAATAATTATGAGCAAACCCTTTCACGATTTAAAAGGCAATTTCCAGGTATCGGCTCATAAATGATCAGGCGTGCTTAAGGTCACGATCACGGCGGTATTAGCGTTGTTATAACGAAGTGAAATTATTTAAAGTGACAACAGACGCTAGCGTGAGTTCAACGGTACTATTAGTAACATTTATCATTAAAAATGTACATTTTTTTTTTCAAAATTCTTTTTCTGTGAAGCCTTAGTTTCCTGATCTTGCGAAGAAGTTCTCGACTTAAACCACTGAAAACCGCATGACGTTTGAACTCAGTGAAAGCGTTAGTTTTGCCTTGTATACAGCACACTTATCAAAGAGAACGCTCTTTTAGAGCCCCCAATTGTTAAAGTTACTGATCGTTGACACGTGAAATGCTCGCAGCGGTGTACCAAGATCCTTACTGAAGTAAGATAAACTAATAAAGGAAATTCAAGTAAACTCGGAGTAAAGAAAAGGAAGAAAAAGAAAAATGAAGTGAAGCGTGTAAATTAAAGTAAAATAAAGTAAAATAAAGTAAAGTAAAGCAGCAAAACTTATGTAAAGTGAAACAAAATAATATAAATCAGCAAATAAAGTAAAGAGAAAAGTAAGTCAAAGCAAAGTGCTGAAACTGGTAAAGCCAATGTTAAGCGAAGTAAACCAATGTAAAGTGAAGCAAAGTAGACAGAATAATACAATAGAATATTCTTTACTATGTCGATATCGATGTAAATGGTTGATATTACAATCCTGTAGAGGAACATATACTTAGAGAAGATTAATTATATTTAGTGAAAATAATGTATAAGCTAGGAAGCAAATACATGAACCAGTTGTTTTTCTTGTCCAGTAACTTCCTGAACAAGTTAGAAGTGTAGGTAGCAGGTAAACGACTAAAAGAAATAAAAAGAAAAAAAATCAAAGAGGGCGCGGGAGAACTTATGTTGCGTGATCAGCATAAAGAAAAATTACTTCGTTTGTTGTTTTGATAGTAGATAACGTATAATTTGCTTCGTAAAGTGAGGTCAAAAACACATTTTCCATAAATATGAATTATTATGCGTTTTCAAAACAGTATCTACTTATGTGCCTACAATAAATGATATGAACGAGGGTACTGGATCACAGGGTTCTCTAAAACAAAAGAAAAGAATCCTATGATCAATACGTAAAAAATGCTTAGTAATAAATCTAAAAGGATATTCCATCTCCAAGGCCGGCCATCGGATCGTAAAAACTATTGCTGACTGTTGAAGACACTTCTGCGTGACTATTGCTTATTTCTCCGCTTCCTCTACTCCTTGTCTCATATCATGTCCCTCCTATTTTGTAGCCTTTCGGCGGTCTAGGTTAAATTCCTATAAATCAGCCTATAGTTCCTAGGCGCCGAAAAATAATAAACTCATTGCAGGGGCAAGTGGCAAGTGCTGGCTCCCGCTAGTGTTTTGAACAAGAACAACTTCATTCAATAATTGTTGAACAGTTGTTGGCCAATCCTTTTTTCTTGGATTTTCCCAAATTCCTTTTTCTTTGAAATTACTTAGAAGCGTGCGGTGAAGTACCCTAGCTGCAGAGGTCCGTTCTCAATATACCTCATATAAAATAACTGTGCTTACGGTCAGTATCGATAAGAAAAAAATATCCTCTGGAACCCAAGGTAGCGGTAAAGATGCCAACCTTTGAGATCTAGATTTTCCAGTGATTTCTCCACAGAGGAAAACATCCTCTCTTGTTTTTGTTTTGTTTTGTTTTCATTTTTGAAGCCACATGCACACATTCGCGTGCCTCTTCTTCTCGAATTTTATCACGACACGTTGATTGATGAGTTTCGTTTCTTGTTTGTTTGTTTTAGATGGTGAAAACAGGCGTGTTTCTATGGTGTGCTCCTCGTTGCGTAGCAACAGCGGTTGAGAGGTCTGTCAGGACCCTTCAGAACGGAAAGGTATTCCATGAGCCCTTCCTGACGCTCTTCTATTATAGTCCCGAAAGAAAAAGCCCGAGACCCGCGTGTGCCCAGTCTTTGCAGGCGTTTTCTCAATCAAGCTATCAGTCAGTCAGTAAAATGCTGCAACAACAAGAATTCGATGGCAAGGAATTTGTCTTCATTAAAGATATGGCGTACTGTGTTGAAGGGAAGTTCGACATCTTTTTGGAAGATGGCTTCAAGCACTTCAAGCATACGTTTATGATCCGAGATCCTAAAAAAGCAGTCAGCTCTCTGTTCAAGCTCTCGACAAATCCCGAGCTGGCGGGATGGGATTACTTCGATCCAGCAGAGACAGGATTCCGGCAGTTGTTTGAGCTGTACCAGTTTATCGACCGTCACGTTCATAAGAATCCAGTTGTTGTAGATGCAGAGGATCTCCTGAGATTTCCAAGCGAAATCATGCAGAGTTACTGTGAGGCAGTTGGACTTCCGTTCGATGAACGCATGACTTCCTGGCAGCCAGGGCCAGTTGCAGAGTGGGGTCCCTGTACCGCATGGCATGACGAGGTTATGAACAGCGCAGGATTTTTACCTCCTCAAGAAAACACAGGAAAACCAACTGATCTTCCACCGGAAGTTGTGTCGGCTGTGGAAGAGTGTTTGTCTTATTATAAGAAGCTGGCTGCATTGAGAATTCTTCCCAAGCAGCGTTAGCGCTGAATATTTCACTCGGTGAAAATCACCATGAGACCGCTTGACAAAAACTGTAGCCTAGGGGACTTGCCTAAAGGCCATTTCACGTGTTTGATCGGTTCCTTTTATTTAGTGGGAATATATCAAAAGATCATTTTAGCGTGTATTTTCTTTTCCCATTTCTCCGAATTGTTGCCCTATCCAAATGCATATGTGTGCATAAGGGCTTCTGCAATAATTATTAGCAAGGAGAGGTTCTGAAATGAGCGAAATGTGGCTAAACGTTAACTCCAGCCCTTGTAAAATAGCTGAAATAACTTCTTACACTCCCTGTTAAGGATCCCTTAATTCCACCACGGCCCTATAAATGGCTTATTTCCAGCAAACTCTAACGTTGCCGCCGCGCATGCATTGGGCCGAAAAACACTAGCAGAAACAATACACTGAATTCTACTTTTAAACATTCACTTGTTCGAGATCTTTGTCTACAATGGGAACTGACAACCGAGCATACAACACTGATACAAGAGGAATCAGTATTTTAGTGTAAAGTCGACTGCGATTGTGAGGAATATGAAAACCCCAAATAATCAACAATACAACTGATGGGCAATTGTGCTTATTGCTGTGGCAGCCCACCTGCAAGATAAAGACAAGATGAATCTGACGGTGTTAAATCCTCTGCTTTCTCAACAACCTTCGAAATTTTTGCCACATCCACCTCACCAACGTTTGCTATGGTCGTAACCTATTGCGCAGGAAAAGTTAAATGGTATACATAAACTACTACGCGCCAGATGCGAAAAAGAATTCTGCTTAATATGGAAACGAGCTGAGCTATACGTAACCTTGGCCTCTTAGTTTAATAAAGAAATGTTCCTGAAATGAACATTTAGGAAATTAAATGCAGTTTAGAAAGTGACATAATCAATTCCTCAGTAACTTTGAAATAATTTTATCCTGCTGTATTTTTCCACTAAATAATTTAGCCACTGCCCCCCTCCTCCCTTGGTGTATCACTTTACACTCTCCCCCCTTCCCACCTTCTTGCATTTTACAGACCCTAACTGATATAATTTATGAAGTCCTTTTATGAAGTCAAGTTCCCTTTAAAGCAGGCACGTGGTTTTTTCATTTACTTATCCTTTTTTTGCCAAAGCACCGAGAGGGCGAATCACCTCCCATTTATTTCAATTCGTTATCCAAAAAGAAAGTGTTATAGAAACGGTTAGAAAAACTTGTTCAGTGTCACGATTGGAAACAATAGCGACCCACCTGGCCGTGAAACATTCTTGTAGAAATTGACATTAGCAATTTTTTAATACCCTGCTGCCCTAACTCAGAGAAGAAACAGTTCACAGTTTTTGTTGTTGTTTTGTCGGTTTGTTTGTTTCAGTGTTTTATTTAAGTTCATCATTGTTGCCAGGAGAGCGAGACTGTAAAACTTTGTTTTAACATAATCGGTTTTTCTTAGTTAGGGGTTGGGGAGGGTGGAAACCATATCTTTAATGACAAGATGTCTTGTAGCACACAAAATTGAGACCTTATACGTGAGTAGGTACACCATCCCGTGTCAAAACCTGAACTCGGTGGTTGTCCAAATCAAGTACAATAACGTGTGCTTCGCCATCCGTACAAACACTGGCTGGATTCTTAAACTCCTCATACCCTGCCCCATATCGCCTAGCCAGTGAACAGGCTCTCTGTTTGGGGAAAAATAGCGAGGAAAGAGAAGGGAAAGGGGGGGAGAGAGCCCTTTTCGCTTTTCCCTCTCCCCACCCCGTTCGACCAGAGGCCTGTTCACAGGCTACATATCGCCCAAAGCTGTTCCCATGGTTACCTGAATGCACGCTGAACTGCTGTATTGAAACTCAATCACAAAGGGTCAACTCTAGTTTCTTCATAGATCACTGAAATATCTCTTATGATGGCATATGCTGTGACGCCATTCCTATTCGGTAAAGAACTAGCATATTTATAAGCATAGTCAACCTGAACTTCTGTAAAAGAAGCTCCATATTAGAAGAGAAATTATTGGCTACTATGTAAGGCAAAACCCTGAACCAAAGCCGGAAAAATGTTTCCAACTTTGCATTTACTCGATTTTAGTTCAATTAATAGAGCTTAATTCCATAGTGCTAGTGTCAAACGTGAACCGAACTGTAAATTTCCGCGTTGATAATCCGCAAAAACAATATTCGCTGATGGGGTTAACGTCATGGAAACTTAGCAACTGAGGTCGCGAGGTCATGTTAACTGTTGCAAACGATTCTCGGAATCGACTGGCAATAGAGGAAATTAAAAACTGCCATCAGGCAAAGTCTGTTGGGCGTTTCAAGATGGAGGCTCTGTTAAAAAACCTCAAAAAGTACGTTGAGTGTTCGATTTGCTTAGAAAGTTTCACCGAGCCGAAAACCATAGCTTGTCTTCACACTTTCTGCTGTGAATGTCTGAAGAAACACGCGCTTGTGAGTCAGAGAGATGGTCAGTTTCGCTGCCCTGAATGCCAGACACAAATAGCCATTCCCGAAGGAAACAGATTCGATCAGTTACCGACCAGTTTTCTGCACAACAGCTTATTAAGCCTTCTCGCTTTTCAACAAAGTGGCAATGGAAGTCAGATCAGCTGCAAAGTTTGCACGAAAAAGAGCGCTCAATTAAGTTATTGTTTCGACTGCGAGATGTTGCTTTGTCAAGAGTGTCTCCAGGCGCATGAGATGTTTCAAACTACAGCTTTCTCAGGACACAAGGTGACGTCGGTCAAACAGTTTCAAGTAGAAGATTACGAAGCTTTGCTAAAGAGAAAGGCATTCTGCGCTGAGAAGTACCACGAGAAAGAGGTAACAAGGTTTTACTGTCGCATCTGCGAAACTTGTATTTGTCAAATATGCTTAAGTATGGAACACAAGACTCATGAAATAGAGTTGCTCGACAAGGCAGCCGATGAAGAAAGAGCCAAAATTTTGGCGGGAGTTGAGTCAATAAAACGAAAACACCAAATGTGCAGCGATATTATCCCTCAATTCGAAGAGACAGCCGCCAATCTTGAAGCTAATATCGCAACGGCTAAACGCCAAGTGTCTCAATCAGCGGAGGAAATGATCGCTGTGATTCGCGAACGCGAGCGCGAGGCAATTACCACGCTCGAGAACACACGCGTGTCACGAATGCAGAAGTTGGATGCTGTGAAGAAACAAGTTCAACAGCTAGGAAAACAGATCAAACAAGCGGCAGAGTTTGCGAGTGAATTGGTTCAGAGAAGTTCGAGTGCAGACATAATAGGAAATAGAAAGAATTTACAGGAACGATTTGAAGAGCTTCGCAAAACTCAAATGCCCGCCCTGCCTGTTGGTTCGTTTGTAAAGTTCGTGTCAACTTGTAAGCTAGATACTTTGAGCCTAGGCATAATAAGATCAACCGAGACAGACCCAAACAAATCAACAATTGAAGGACTGAAACAAACTTTCCAAGCTGGTATTGAAGCAGAGATTTCGATTTGCCCAAAGACAAGCGAAGGACAGATCAGCAACAAACAATATGAGGACCACATAGAGGTTCAAGTGGAACCTGCTGACCAACTGGCCAGTTTGATCATCAACGAAAAAGCAGGCGGAAATTACCAGGTGAAATTTGTTCCTAAACTGCCGGGTGTCTACCACATCTCAGCAAAGATAAACGGTGACAGCCTTTCTCAAGGTCCCTTCACTATCGAGGTACAGGAGCGAAAGCTGGAAGTTGATGATGAGTTACACTTGCAAAATGAAACTCTGCAAAAGCCAACTGGTATAGCAGTGAGCAGTAAAGGATTAATCGCCATAGCAGACTATGGGAAGAACTGTATTCTAATATGTGATAAAGAGGGAAACATTTTGCGACAAGTGGGCTGCAAGGGAGAGACTCCTGGTCAGCTTCACTGTCCAACTGACGTGACATTCATTAATGATGATGAGATTCTCGTGGCAGATGAATTGAATCACCGAGTACAGCAGTTCAACGTGCACTCGGCGCAGAACTTTGTGAACAGTTTTGGACGGTATGGGAATGGAGATGGGAATTTTCAGTATCCAACAAGAGTTTGTATGGATGATGAACGACGCATAATTGTATCTGACTTTAACAACCACCGCGTTCAGGTTTTGACAAGGGATGGTGTACCCATGTTGATATTTGGAGATAGCGGCCCGGAAAAACTTAACAATCCTGTGGGCTGTGTTTGTTACAAAAACATGTTTATAGTTGCTGATAGTTTTAACAGCTGTTTGAAAGTATTTAATTCTTCAGGGAACTTTTTGCGTAAGATTGGAGGAAAAGGCAATGAAGACGGACAGTTTTTAAGGCCGTATGGAGTGTGTGTAGACCAACATGGAAATAGTTTGGTCAGTGACAAAGACAGTGGTCACGTGCAACAGTTTACTATAGAGGGTCATTTTATTGGGAAAACTGTTACTAAGTTAACATGGCCATGGGGTATGGCTACAATGCCTGATGGTCGTATTTTAGTTTGTGACTTCAGTGTCGGAAAGGTTCTTTTCTTGAAATAAGACTTACCTTGAAAACATCCTGTTGATACTATGCTAAGAAAGGACGTCAGATTTTTTTTCCAAACTGCATTGTTATTCAAGTCAATCAATTCAATGTTGTCAATATATAAGTTCTTTCGAAAAGCTTGTTGTACTCGGTTGCAATTGTTTACTAGAAATAAGTGAATCGCAGGAGCTCGCGAAGCTCTTAGGGGGAACGGCAAGAAGGAGGAAGGAAGGAAATGAAGACAATAGGGCACAGAACATTTATTGATATAAAATATACGATATATAAGGGGGAAAAAGACAAAACAACAATAACAATAAGAAAAGAAAAGAAAAAGAAGTTCTACCCATGATTTTCTTTAAAAGTGCACTTAAGTCATTTATTTGTTATAATTATTAGTATATTCTGACAAAAATCTGACAAACGACTTTTTAATATTTAACGTTTGTAAATTTCCTTATTATATTTTTACTTTCCTTTTCATAAATAATTCATCCGTCGCCGTAATTTTTAATGTTCTCCTTGAAAAATAATAACTGGGGAGGCCTAATTAACATAAAACAAAACTGAATGCAGCGGCTGGAACTACGGCACAGGGCTGATTTATTATAGGCCAATATTTCGGCTAACAAAATTAGCCTGGCCCTGAGGAAGGCTAATTTTGTTAGCTGAAATATTGTCCTATAATAAATCAGCCCTTTGTCGTAGTGCCAGCCCTGCATTCAGTTTTGTTTTATTTTACACTTTTAAAAGTGACGTCTAGCTACAGCATCTCTTTAATTAGATATACTCCAAGAGAAACCAGTCAGTGATATTTACGCGTTGCGCGGACCTCTGCATTCAAACAGTTTTTCCTTTAAACATTAAGCTATATGCATGGCTTCCTACAGGCCCCATCGCCATTACTTTTCTCTATTTTTGTATCTGTATTGTTCTTGTTGTTATATGTAGGTGTGACAAATAAATACGATACAAATACAAATACAAATAGGAAACTGGAAACTGCTGTGTCAGCCACCTTAAATCTTCCATTTGCGAATGAAAGTCTGGAAATTCACTTCTGGTAGTTGTAAGTGTGGGCATCCTGTTATTTTCCGATCTTTTTAATACAAGCAGAAATTCAACTTGTAAGAAGACAGAAGAAAGGTTACAGAAAGGGTTCGATATGGGCTTTTATACATTTAAGCTTTACTTTTTAGCATTTTAGTGAGGCAGAAGCATCAAACAATATTCGAGCATTTTAGCGGAGAAAAACGATTATATCTTTTCGTATTAAAACCATTAACTTGTATACGTTGTTGTTACACCACTTAGAGGTTTTTTTTGTTACCGCTGAAATTAATAAAATAGCCTCTGTATGATAACAAGAGAGATGATAAGTGTTATCGAGCATTTTAATCTTGGGGGCGAGAACCAGATTTTCGTGGATTTACGAAATATTTGCGAGTAATGCTCAAAGTGAGCCTCTCCCAAATACCACAAGTTCAGTCTGAATTATGATGGGAAATGAGTCTCACAACTCCTTTTCCAGTTCCTTTCTTGTTTATTTCAGATGCACATTAAAGCTATTTAAGGAAGGTCTATCTTTTGACAAATGCATTCGTAAAGAAAACTAGGCAGGAATGAATAATGATCGGGATGGGTTTAGTGGGTTATACTTCCTTTTACAAGCTGTTTGCTGTCCTGCTGAATATAAACTTATCGTTTTCATGCAGTACACTACTTCTGTTTTGTCTAGCTATGGCAGTCTAGCGAAGTCGCCTTTCGGCAAGTCTGGTTTGTAAAGCTTTCCGTACTCGTTTGTGTTTAAGCCTTTAAACTCTAACACCAAAATTGAGATTCTTTTTTACTTTCCTCCTTACCTTTTTCAATGGAAGTTCTGGGAAGAATTTGTTGAAATATGAATTAGACTCATCTTCCCTGATCATTTACTCAATTCTCATGACCACTCTGTTTTCTGAAGCATTGATATTATTAGGAGAAATTACATGCTGATCAATCTTAGGGCTTAAAGGGTTAAGTAATATCTCAGTGACATGGGTGAATCAAAACAAATATAAAGGGTGGCCATAAAAAATGAAATATTTAAAAATTCTGGAATCTTTTCCAAGCAACCTCAAACTGAATAATAGGCATTCTGAAAATATTTTTTTATAAACTAGAGAATTCATATTGGAAGTGAAGTGCGGCTCCAAGTAGAAAGACCAAGGGGTTGGAACTGTAGTAAATGATATATTGTATCTCAGTTTAGGATATCAAATGGTTTTCAAGGTTGTAAGATTAAAAAAGGAGAGAGTAAATTGTTGTCTTCCTCGCAGCCGTTTTTGTCTCTAGCGTTGCGTGACCAGACAAATTAAGGGAGACTATGTTGTATAAAATACATCGTTTAGTTATGTTGTATTTTTTAAGCTTGTTTTTATCTTCAGCTTTGTATGTGTGACTATAATTCGCGAGGAACCTGCTTAATCCTGAATTAGTTTCAAATAAAAACAAACACAGAGCATAATGCAAGAAATGAATTCCCAAAGATTTCAATCAATAACAGGGATACATTATCTGTATATTTTAAAATAAACGTTGTATAATGAAAGTTTGTATATAAAATGCATAAGCCTGCGTAGCAAGCGTTTCCTCGCGAGGTTCGTCTAGAAAACTGGGACAAGAGCAAAAAAAAATGAATGACGGGGATTGGAAACGCTTGCTACGCAGGCTAAAAATGCATATACTCAAAATCAGTTTGGATTGTTATTGACAAATACACAATAAAGACATATTTGAAAGAAAGGTTTCAGAAAGCATCTTTGATTTGGTGAATTGTCACGGAATTGTAAATATTCGTTTCTTGTGTAATCACTTTTCTACTTCATAAGATCAATGCAAATAAGTATTTAAATGAACAGGAAAACCTTAATTCAGTTTGCCCACCTCGGTGAGTAAATCGCTTGTTTCATTCGCCTCTTTGGCGGGGCAAATTATGATCGACCTCAATTTTAATAGTCAGGTCTCTTAGTGCAAAATATAGGCCGGATCGTTACAGACGTGACAAAAGTGTCAAATTTGGCACAGAGCTCCCTTAGCACCTGCCGATTAATACTGGAGGGGGTGCCCGTTACAAATGGTCCTAATTACAGATAAAAGGGGGGGGGGGGTTGGGGGGGGGGGGTTAACTTTCACCTATAATAGCAAATTGGGTGCCCTGTGATGAGTACTCTTCTTGTTTGATTTGGCCAAAAAACATTTGTTTCAAATTTTTAAGTTTTTAATTTGGTAATGTTTAGTTGTTGTTACACTATTCAAAATAGTTTGACATGTACATAATACTGACTAGTGCCCAGTCTCCACACGGTAAGTGTGGCCATGTTCACTGTGTGGCTATCAGTGTCACTGCTAAGAATTGCCAGTGATCATATCATTACATATCAATTTAAACAGATCACAAAGCCAGCTTTCAAAGATGTCATACAATAACATAAAATCCAAATGTATCACTTCCTAAACGATAGAATCGTTAAATTTTGACATGCCACATGAACGACCTCATGAACCGTAACTGACAACGCGCCCACTTTGTAATTGTAAAACTAAGATTAGATTATAATTTGCCTCGTTGGTATCCCTGTTCTTGAGATAATGTTTAAAACATGTCAACCTCGTCCTCCGGGGGAAAAGGAGGATCAAGGGTGGCACAGTTGGTTAGTGCGCAGCCTTCGGTGCGCGAGGTGCAGAGTTCGATCCCGGGTGTCAACACATCCATATTTCAACTTCTCTCCTTTCTGTGTAGCTTTGACTACCTTTAAATACCCAAACGGAGCATTAGTGGAGAGAGGGGGGTAAAAGGAGCGCACAGTCGACCTCAAGTTTATCAGTTATTATTACTGTCACGAGTTGTGGACGTAAAATATGGTCGCTTTACCTTCTTCTACCTTTTTATTAAGCCCTATGGACGAGGTTGTAAAACATGCCTCTCCAGGATTTTTTAACACTCTTTATTTTTTACACACTTGCATTTAAAAAGACGTGTATGAGGTCCCTGCATGCCTAAACACCTGTAGGGAGCTCATTCACTTCAGAGCCTTCGCACCAGAGTGTTAATGTAGGTCTATATGATCTTTAAAAAAAAGGAAGGTCGTCGCGGGCGTTACAATTTACAAAAAAACTAACTTCAGAAGAGCTGAAAGTTACTGGAACAAGGCCTGTTTTAGCCAACCAATTATGCATCATTTATGAGAATGAATGTGATTTGTTTGATGCAATTAGGCGAATACCCTGTGGTTACGAAATCTTACGATCATTTCCTCAACAGCAATTCAATTACAAAATAATGCTGTGGAAAATTACAGAAAATACCAAAAAAGCAAGGGTCAACAATAATTGTGGCCTGGTCCCTTATAATAATGGAGTGGTCATGATAAAGAAGCCCATCAGCCCCAACAAAGTGGGGGACCGGCCCCCAGGTAGGTGAGGTAACCTGCTTAGGTGGGGTAAAAAAATAACTCTCCTTTACATGCAATCTTACAACCCCGCCATCCTGGGGTGCAGTTTCTCAAGATTACTGAATGGTCGCTAAGCACGTCAACAAGAAAAATGATGGCAAACTTTGCTGCTCTTGCTGCAACCTTCAGTGTTGTGGCTTTCTATTGTTACTTTTAATAATTATGTGAAGCCACCCACAAAAGGCTCCAAAGTGAATTTTGTGCGAATTTGATGTATCACGAATCCGACCCCGACTAGCCTGGGTTACCTCACCTTGAAACGTTGACATGCCAAAATTTGACCTCAGCTGAGAGGGTTACCCGGTGTGGCAGACCGGGCTACCCACCTTAAAGGAGCACCCCACCTATTATGTAAACGTGATCAAATTGAAATGAGAGATTATATAGACAGGCAGGTTACCCCACCCCCCACCTCCATGTTAACAGGCCCTAAAAGTTAGCCCGGCCCCCTTTCTACAGTTTCAGCAGTTAAACCATTCACCATTTATCATTTGAGTCAATCTTGTACCACTTGAGTCTCACTTTTACGACTTGATAAGCTGTTATTATTTTTGGACATGAGTGCTTCAGTGCCAAATGTAGAGGCTTCAGGATAAACTGTGCTGTTTTTTTGAAGCTTGGACTACCTTGTTTCTGTTTTTTCGCTTATGATACCAGATTCTTTTTTGTTTGTTTTTGCTTTGTAAAGCTTTCACAAACTGCGGGAATTATGAATGATATGACTTGTGCCACGATGCTTGCTTCTCTGTCAAAATATGCACTTGCGTCCAGCAGATAAAGAGAGACTGAAAGGCATCCACGCCTATGTTAAGTTGAAAAATTTTATTGTTAGGAAAGAACTATTTTGGGTTCTGTCATTTCGTTATTGGCTCTTCATGAACAGCTGTCAAAAATCCCTGATAATATGTGATACAACAGACTCTTTGACAATTTCTTTTTTTCTTAAATTTTGTGTGTGAATCGCTATGCCATACCCATTCTTTAGCTTAAAGTGACATGCAATGACAAGTAATACTTGATAAATAAGGCTTAAGACACACAATAAGGCCTCCTCTAGTTGAAATATGTTAGGAAAGGAGAAGGGAACCCCAGAAGCTGAGTACTTGCAAGTTATGAAGCAAAGACGAGGCCATGTTAGAAATGACTTATGAAAATGTGGGCGGACTGTGGACTTGCCTTAAGGGCACAGTAATAATTAACTTAATTATACAATCAATAAGCTAATAATGGATGAGAATGCCAGATTTTCGAGTAAAATTGTTGTTTACAACATAAGAAGAGAATTCTGAGTGATTTAAGGTATTAAATGACAATTTTCAATCAAAACAACACAGGGACCCAGCAGGTGAAATTTACAATAATTAAATCCCGTTTAGCACGCTTCAGTGGCATATTTGCATTGGGCACCCCCTCTAATATTCATGGTACTGCAGTAAGCTATCACTGTACAAAGTTTGGTGCTTTTGTCAACTCTGTAACGATCCTGACCTTAAGAGACCTGACTATAATTCAGTTTGTTTGCCTCGTTGCTTCGTTCACCTCCTTTGAAAAATTAGTGAACTACAACAGGACGGTTATCTGCTAAAAACGATTAATTGTTTGCCTCCTCGTGACGAGATTTCATCGATTGTGTTCGTGACCCACAATGATCCACAGCTGATAACTACGTTGGGCTCATGGAACGACAGAGCTGCAAAAATGAAAGAACATTGTCTCCTCCGCGAAACCTCACTTTAACGTTCGCTACCTTCCCAAAATACTTAACTTTACAAAAGCAAATGAATAACTTACCTGCTACGTTAAAGAAACTATGAAAATGTCCCTCGCACTCGCGTCCGACCGTCGACCCCGGTACTCCTGGGAATTCTTGGTGGGGGTGTGCCGCCCGGTTCTCCAAATCCTGACCTGATTTCAGACCAAAAAATGTAATTTTTCACACCTTTATTCAGACCAGACCTCTAAAATCCATACCCGTTTTCAGACCTGGCCTTTAGGCAGAAATTATGTTACCATTACTTAGATTAGAGCGCAAACAAAAAAATTCTTCAAAGCCATTTCGAATTCGCGTATTTTTCTTTCTTTCTTACTCATTTGAAATTGAAACGATAAAGACGTTCATACAATCCCGTAGTTCCCTCAAAAACCATACCCGATTCCAGACCAAAAGGAGCAAAGTGTATATCCCTTTTCAGACCATTAAAACGACGCAAAAACTCTGCCCAATAGGGCGGCACATACCTACATAACTTATATATGGGAGTAGCCCCCGGGCTCTCGACTGCCAACCTCATTCAAAATGTCGTATGTTTGTTTAAAAATCTAGAGACCCAGTACGAAAAACGTGTTTCGCTTCAATACTTAACATAATTTGTAAAAGAGCTTATGCCAGATTTATTTCAGTTTTTCCATTTCAAGTTGAACTTCCTTGAAATTCAAAGGGTGCTTAAAAAGAAAGCTGAAGTGTAAAAGAAGGTGCTTCCAGTATGCATTAATTAATAATAGTCATTGCTGGTGTTTAGGTCATGGATGCTTAGAAAATTACACCAGGGTGAATAAGAAACCAGTTTTGGTTGGTCGGTTAAAATAAACTGCTACGTGTTATTATAAATATCAAGGCTAAGGATGCTTGGAATCGACTAACAATAGAATCGAAGGGTGTGTTTCACAAATTGCTCTCCACAAGGCATAGTCTGCTTTGCATTTAGTTTCGCCATGGAATCTCTCCTAAAAAACCTCAAAAAACATGTTGAATGTTCGATTTGCTTGGATAATTTTACCAAGCCGAAAACCATAGCTTGTCTTCACACTTTCTGCTGTGAATGTCTCGAAGAACACGCGCTAAAGAATCAAAGAGATGGTCAGTTTCGCTGCCCTGAATGCCAGACACAAATTGCCATTCCCGAAGGAAACAGATTCGATCAGTTGCCAACCAGTTTTCTTCATAACAGCTTGCTCAGTCTTCTCGCTGTTCAACGAAGTGGCGATGGAAATGATATCACTTGCGGGTTTGCAAGAAGAATAGGGATGAAGCAAGCTATTGTTTCGAATGCGAAAAAATGTTATGTTGCGAATGTCTGAACTCACACGAGGTTTTTAGAGATACTGCATTCGCTGGACACAAGGTGACTCCAGTCAAACAGTTTCAAGCGGAAGATTACGAAGCCTTGTTAAAGCGAAAGGCCTTCTGCACTGAGAAGTACCACGAGAAGGAAGTAACCAGATTTTACTGTCGCGTCTGCCAAACTTGCATTTGTCAAATATGCTTTGTTATGTATTTCAAGACTCATGAAATTGAGCTGCTAGAAACTGCAGCGGATGAAGAAAGGGCTAAAATTTTGGCGGGAGTCGAGTTCATGAACCACAAACAGGAATGTTGTAGGGAGCTTATACTACAGTGCGAGGAGACAGTCGCTAACCTGGAAGCCAACATCGCATCCGCTAAAAGCCAAGTCTCTCAATCAGCCAAACAATTGATAGCTGTGATTCACGAACGCGAGCGCGAGGCAATTACCATTCTCGACAACACTCGCGTGTCACGAATGCAGAAATTGGATGCTGTGAAAAAACAAGTTCAACAGCTAGAAAAACAGATTAAACAAGCGGCAGAGTTTGCAAGTGAACTGGCTCAGAGAAGTTCGAGTGCAGACATAATAGGAAACAGAAGGAATTTACAGGAACGATTTGAAGAGCTTCGCAAAACTCAACTGCCCGCTCTTCCAGCTAGCTCGTTTTTAAAGCACGTGTCCACTTTTGACCCGGATTCTCTGAGCCTTGGGTTCATAGTGTATGGTAATACAGACCCAAAGAGATCAACAATTGAAGGGTTGAAACAAACTTTCCAAACAGGAGTAGAAGCAACAATTTCTATCCGCCCCAAAACACGTGAAGGACAAATCAGTAACCGGCAACATGAGGATCACGTTGAAGTTCAGGTGGAGCCTGCTGACCAATTGGCAAGTTGGACCATCAACAAAAAAGCAGACGGAAATTTTCAGGTGAAATTTGTGCCTAAACTTCCAGGTGCCTACCAAATATCCGCAAATATAAATGGTGACAGCCTTGCTCAAAGTCCCTTTACTGTTGTGGTAGATAAACGAAAGCTGGAAGTTGATGGTGAGTTCCAGTTAACGCAAAATGAAACTCTTCGAAAGCCAGCAGGAATTGCAGTGAACTGTAATGAATTAATTGCCATAGTAGACTATGGGAAGGGCTGTATTCTAACATGTGATAAAGAAGGAAAGATTGTGCGAAAAGTGGGCTGCAACGGAGAGAATCCTGGGCAGCTGAGCGGCCTAGCTGACGTGACATTCATTAATGATGACGAGATTCTCGTGGCAGATCAATTAAATCACCGAGTACAGCAGTTCAACGTGCATTTAACAAACGTATTAAACAGTTTTGGTCGGTCTGAGACAGGAGAGGGAGGGTTTCAGCATCCTATTAGTGTTTGTATGGATGGAAAAGAAAACATCATTGTAGCTGACTATAGCAACCACCGAGTTCACATATTTACAAAAGATGGTGCACCCATGCTGAAATTTGGAGACAGCGGCCCGGAAAAACTGAAACTTCCTGTAGGCTGCGTCTTTTACAAAAACATGTTTATTGTTGCTGATAGTGGCAACAACTGTTTAAAAGTATTTAACTTTTCGGGGAAGTTTTTGCGAAAGATTGGACAAAGAGGCAATGCAGACGGACAGTTTTTAAAGCCGCATGGAGTGTGTGTAGACCAACATGGAAATATTTTGGTTAGCGACATAGAGAGTGGTCACGTGCAACAGTTTACTATAGAGGGTCGCTTTACTGGAAAAACTGTTACTAAGCTAACAGGGCCATGGGGTATGGCTACAATGCCTGATGGTCGTATTTTAGTTTGTGACTTCAGTGCCGGAAAGGTTATTTTCTTGAAATAAGACTTACCTTGAAAACATCCTGTTGATACGTTAATAAAGGACGTCAGACTTTTATATCAATTTTATGTTGATAAGCACATTTCAAAGAGCATATTAGATTTGTGCCTTTTAAACAATCATAATCATACTCGTCATCGTCATCGCACAGTCCTCATCACCAAAATGATTGCCTTCAAAGTGGCCAGGTGATAAACGTAGCCATGTGACAATATTAAATATAGTTTACGTCATAGCAAGTGCGACGTACAAGGTTAATTATATTATCACGAGTTGTTTGTGTCAAAACCCGAACGACCGAGGTACGAAGAGTGAGGACTTTTGACACAAACAACGAGTGAATACAATGTATTTATTTCATGTCGGTAGTACATACAGCCCCTATGCCTTTTTGAGGTTGGTCGCTGTCATCTGTCATCAGATCAAAAAGTGGTGGCGTCATCATCCCAATCATGTTAATCACGTCACAAGAGTCTTACAACTTAGAGGATGTAGTCAGGTTGCTGATCAATTATGTGTGAAAGAGTCGTCAAAACCTGCTTGCTTATTTTGTTTGTTTTTAAATCTAGAGGGCCTTATGAAGAGTTTTTCATTTCTGAAAATTTAACGTGTTTGTAATGGAGCTTAGGCCCGAGTTATTTCATCTATTTGCAACTGAGATTGAACTTTTTTGAAATTTAAAAAGGTGCTTACAAAGAAAGCTTTGAAGTGTGAAAGGTGTGCTTCCTGTATGCATTGATTAGTGATGGTCTGCTAGGGTGTAGGCCCGGCGGGGGGACACTCAAGGGAAGTTTGGGTAGAGGTGTGTTTCATTTTAGAGTTCTTGATTTGTTTTATTTCAGACCTCAGTAACGCTGAACAAAAGGTTTTCTGACTACTCAAGGAGACCTTCAAACCCCGACCCTGTTTAAGTGAAAAATTGCTCATTTCGCTACCCTGTTTAAGACAGGAGACACTACTTTCTGACCCTGATTTGTTTTGTTTTGCATACCAGGGTCAAGTACAAATCTTCTGGTTGGTCGGTTAAATTACCTTGTTGTGATATAACAAGACTAGAGATTCCCGGAATCGACTAACAATAGAATCGAAGGGTGTGTTTCACAAATTGCTCTCCACAAATCATACAAGGCAAGGTCTGCTTTGCATTTAATTTTTCGATGGAACCTCTCCTGAAAAACCTCAAAAAACATGTTGAATGTTCGATTTGCTTGGATAATTTTACCGAGCCGAAAACTATTTCGTGTCTTCACACTTTCTGCTGTGAATGTCTGAAGTTATGAGTCAGAGAGATGGTCAGTTTCGTTGCCCCGAATGCCAGACACAAATTGCCATTCCCGAAGGAAACAGATTCGATCAGTTACCGACTAGTTTCCTTCATAACAGCTTGCTCAGTGTTCTCGCTGTTCAACAAAGTGGCGATGGAAATGAGGTCACTTGCGGATTTTGCAAGAAGAATAAGAAGAAGAAAGATGAAGCAAGCTATTGTTTTGAATGTGGAAAAATGCTATGTTGCGACTGTCTGAACGCACACGAGGTGTTTAGAGATGCCGCGTTCGCAGGACACAAGGTGACCAAAGTCAAACAGTTTCAAGCAGAAGATTACGAAGCCTTGTTAAAGCGAAAGGCCTTCTGCACTGAAAAGTACCACGAGAAGGAAGTAACCAGATTTTACTGTCGCGTCTGCCAAACTTGCATTTGTCAAGTATGCATTAATATGAATCACAAGACTCATCAAATTGAGCTGCTAGAAACTGCAGCGGATGAAGAAAGAGCTAACATTTTGGCAGGCGTTGAGTCGATGAAGCAAAAACACCAAACATGCAGAGACATTATCCGTCAATTAGAGGAAAGAGCCGCCAATCTTGAAGCTAACATCACAATCGCTAAACGCCAAGTGTCTCAATCAGCCGAGCAAATAATCGCTTTGATTCGCGAACGCGAGCGCGAGGCAATTACCACGCTCGAGAACACACGCGTGTCTCGAATACAGGAACTGGATGCCGTAAAGAAACAAGTTTAACAGCTAGAAAAACAGATCAAACAAGCGGCAGAGTTTGCAAGTGAAGTAGCTCAGGGAAGCTCGAGTGCAGACATAATAGGAAACAGAAAGAATTTACAGGAATGATTTGAAGAGCTTCGCAAAACTGAAATGCCCGACTTGCCTGCTGGTTCGTTTGTAAAGTTCGTGTCAACTTGTAAGCTAGATACTTTGAGTCTCGGCATAATAAAATCAACCGAGACTGACCCAAAAAAATCAACAATTGAAGGACTGAAACAAACTTTTCAAGCTGGCGTTGAAGCAGAAATATCGATTTGCCCAAAGACAAGCGAAGGACAGATCAGTAACAAACAATATGACGATGACGTTGAGGTTCAGGTGGAACCTTCTGACCAACTAGCAAGTTTGATCATCAACGAAGGGAACGATGAAGCAGGCGGAAATTTCCAAGTGAAATTTGTTCCTAAACTGCCAGGTATCTACCACATCTCAGCAAAGGTAAACGGCGACAACCTTGCTCAGAGTCCCTCTAATATCGAGGTACAGGAACGAAAGCTTGAAGTTGTAGGCGAGCTGCAAAGTGACACTACGATTAAGCCAGCCGGCATTGCTGTGAACTCAATGGGAATGATCGCCGTAGCGAACCAAGATAAGCACTGTATTTTTATATTTGATAAAGAAGGAAAGTTTTTGAGACAGTTGGGCTGGTATGGAGAGAATCCTGGAGAGCTAAACACACCAGGTGATGTGACATTAGTGAACGAAGATGAGATTTTAGTGATAGACGTGCGTAATAACCGAATACAGCAATTTAATGTGCACTCAGGGAACTTCATAAACAGCTTTGGACGATTTGGGTACGGATTTGGACAGTTTAACGCTCCAAGGAGTGTTTGTATGGATTGTAAAGGACACATCATTGTAGCTGATTACAACCACCGAGTTCAAGTGTTAACGAAGGATGGTGTCCCTATATTGAAATTTGGAGACAGAGGTCCAGAAAAACTGCACTTTCCTGTAGGCTGCGCCTATTACAAGGACATGTTTGTAGTTGCTGACAGCGGGAATGGCTGTTTAAAGGTGTTTGACTCTTCAGGGAGGTTTCTACGCAAGATTGGTGAGAAAGGCAATGAAGACGGGCAGTTTACAAACCCGTGGAGATTGTATATTGACATACATGGAAATATCTTGGTCGGTGACAAAGACTGTGGTCACGTGCAACAATTCACTATGGAAGGTCGCTTCACTGGGAGAGCTGTTACTAAACTAAATTGGCCAAGTGGTATAGCACAAATGCCGGATGGTCGCATTTTAATTTCCGATTTCGAAGCAGGAAAGGTTTTTTTCCTTAAATAGAACTGTTTTCGAATTAAGAGGCCCTGGACATAAGAAACGTCCGATTATTTCCGGCTAACAAATGATAATATCAGTCAATTTTGATCTGTTAGGTTAAGGCTGCCAAACGTTAATTTAAAACATAATATCGTGGGTGACAAATTTCTCCTAAATTTTGGCTCGAAATTTCAGCGATAATTAGTAATTTCAAGTGTGCAATAACGTTCCGTACGTGGCGTCAAAGTTTTAAAATGTTATGAAATTCAATGAAGTGCAGCCAACTCTCTCTTATCGGACACCTCTATCAGACAGACACTTCTCTAGCTAAGATAGCCTGTTCCAGGCTCCGAGATAGTGGTGAAAAGTCGTTCAGTAAAAAGAAATGCGAAAAACGCGCGGAAAAATATTTCACTCGTTCGCTGCGCTCACTCGTGAAGTATTTTTCAACACTCACTGGAAAGGTTATTTTCTTAAAATAACGCTCTTATTGAAAACACCCAGTTTAGGATCTGTTGCGAAAGAACTTTAGAATTTTTCTCAACCTATGTTGACATTCAAGTCTATCAATTTTGTTGTTTAATAGGTTCATTAGAAAAGCTCGTTATACTCAGTTGAAGTAAGTGATCAGACCCGATCACGGTGATATACTAGGTGTATCAAATCAAAGGGTGGCCATTAAAAAACAAAATGGTTAAAAATTCTGGAAACTGTTATGAAACAACAAAATCTTTCATGTAAAGAATCACAAATGGAAGTCTGGAAATTCATTTCTGAGGGGGGTGAATAGGCCAACGGATCGGCAGGTTTTGAAAATAGTTTCGCCTGGATTTCGAATTCAGAGCGAAATTTTAACGAATTTGAAGAACCCGGGCAATGGCAGCGGATTGCGGACTCATCCAGTTTTGGGGCCCGGATTTTGGACTTTGCATGGTTAAAAAATGTTTCTTGGGAAGCGAGTTTATAATCTCGTTGCACTTGCGCGTGGACTTAGCCAGGTGCAAAATTGGTTGCCCTATACATGAACATTGTTGTTATACCACTTAAATAAATGAATAAAAAGAGCCTCTGTATGATGAACATTATCGAGCATTTTAGTGACTTTTTTTGGGAGAGACCAAGCTTTTTGATGGAAAAATGGTGCATTAAGGAAGAGCATTTTAGAGGGGATACAAACACATCTCTCGCAAATACTACAAGCTCAGTTTAAATTCTGAAAAAAATCACGACTCCCTTTCCAGTTATTTTCTTTTTATTTTAATTGCACTTAAAATCTATTTATCGAAGGTCTATCTTTTGACAAAATGCAAAAATGCAGAGAACTAGGGCGAAAGAACAAAAATGGAAATGTTATGTACGATTTGGAATTTGTAACACCTCCTTGGTGAACTAGTACTTTTAATAGTAGTTAAGTTCAATACGGAGGTATATCCCTGTGTGAATAATGATACTCACTGGGATCTATAACAGAATGGGGGAATATCCTTTTCCTCTGTTACGCCTCTTTTATTCACTCCGACAATGTTTCCAAGCCAAATGAGTTGATGGATTTACCTGGTGTTCTCAGATAAGGGAACAGAGGCAAGAGGGCCACTTTTCTAGCCCTTCGAGAAAAAGATTGTGTACAGATAACAAAACTAATGAATTCTCTGTTGTCAACCCTGAATGGATTATCTTGTTCCCCCGTTTAAGCACATCACCTTTGATGATGCCACAGTTGAAGAGAGACATTTTGTGAGCATACAGGACATACATGGTACTATGATAGGACTATTTTTAACTTGTTTCATAAATCAAAGGAAATCTATCACCAACCGACCTCCGAGCTCTAGAAATGACCAACATCTAGTTTCTCCTTATATAATGCACCGTTTACTCAAACATAAAGGTTACAAGAATGGAATAAGGGCAATGGTCACCAGGGGGAAAATGGCATACACATTTTAAAAAAGCCCTCCAACAGTACAGTGAAATACAACCATATGATCAGAACACTCACACGATCACCTCCATATTTAAACTCAGTCTCCAGCCCTACCCAACGGCTGGGCGCACGGGCTTGGCTATTATTAAAATTGACCAACCAGAAGCCAGCCGCAAAATTCTGTGGGCTGGCTTCTGATTGGTCAATTGTAATGGGTGTGGCGAGTACCGCGGGCGCATTGAGACACGAAGGCTTGAGACTGAGCCTACTCCTTATTAAGACCAAAGAAACTTTTTCCTAAGCCCAAAACAAGAGTCTAGTCTTTTTCTTGTTAAAATATGACCAACCGTCTGTCATTACAAGAAACGACTGCCTTTTGAAATATTCCAACGGCTGCCTTTTTCACAATTTAACCTCATTGAAATGACCGAGTAAATGCTTGGTAATGTATTAAAGCATGAAGCGGTGAATCGATGATCATAACTATACCAAATTCTCTTCACCTGATTAGCTATCAGCAGCCCTAATTCCAGCAATTCCAGAGTAACAGGACGGTAAGTGCCACGACCAAGGAATTGGTCATCATGCACTGGTACTTGACTTTTTTTTTTCTGGGAAAAAACTCTCGGAAGATCTTGTGTTTTAATTTTAAAAAAGCTTAAATTATCACAAATTTTGTTATAGTTCCAATTAATAACTGTTAACAGGACTTCATGTTCTACCACCCATGCGGTCTGTTATCATCATCTAGATTACACAAATTGGACTCTTTCTAAGCAGTCATCTGATTTTGTTAATCAAGTACAATTTGCATGACTGCGAACCAAATCGTATTCTACTCAGTCAAGATCAGGAAGTCTTGTTAGCAAAGGTTGCTGATTAAAGTGTGTAAGCATTCAAGTGATATGTGTGATTCCTAGAAGGTCAATCGTCAGAATCAAGTTCTTCTTGTCATTTCACAATGTTTTAGTTTGGCATTTTCCTTTTTTTATAGCCCAGGTCTGGTACAGCTATGTAGAGGGTTTCACTGTACCATATTATAAGAAGTACGCATAGAAAAGGTTTGAGGATAACGAGTGTTGTTGTAAGAGCTTTAAGGGTCAATGGTGAACTATGTACACCACAAGCGAACTTTTTTAGAAAATATCCCATGCAAACAGCAGCCCATGCACTAGAAATTACAAATCTAATATTAACAATAATATTTTAAGTCAGCCTTCATGTTTAGGTGGAGTATACCATCCTAAAAATGAGAATAAAACANGAAAAAACTCTCGGAAGATCTTGTGTTTTAATTTTAAAAAAGCTTAAATTATCACAAATTTTGTTATAGTTCCAATTAATAACTGTTAACAGGACTTCATGTTCTACCACCCATGCGGTCTGTTATCATCATCTAGATTACACAAATTGGACTCTTTCTAAGCAGTCATCTGATTTTGTTAATCAAGTACAATTTGCATGACTGCGAACCAAATCGTATTCTACTCAGTCAAGATCAGGAAGTCTTGTTAGCAAAGGTTGCTGATTAAAGTGTGTAAGCATTCAAGTGATATGTGTGATTCCTAGAAGGTCAATCGTCAGAATCAAGTTCTTCTTGTCATTTCACAATGTTTTAGTTTGGCATTTTCCTTTTTTTATAGCCCAGGTCTGGTACAGCTATGTAGAGGGTTTCACTGTACCATATTATAAGAAGTACGCATAGAAAAGGTTTGAGGATAACGAGTGTTGTTGTAAGAGCTTTAAGGGTCAATGGTGAACTATGTACACCACAAGCGAACTTTTTTAGAAAATATCCCATGCAAACAGCAGCCCATGCACTAGAAATTACAAATCTAATATTAACAATAATATTTTAAGTCAGCCTTCATGTTTAGGTGGAGTATACCATCCTAAAAATGAGAATAAAACAAAAAAGCCAAATAAATTAATTTATAACAACTGGTATCTGTCTCTAGCTACCATGTTGACAAGCTGTCAATCTACAAATGAACTGAACCGTGAAACACTAATAGGTGTTTATTAAGTTGTTTGCTTGTGTGTTTGTTTGCTTTTTTTTTCTTTTAAGTATTGTGGGGCGTAAGGAAAGCATTTATTTTCTTTTAGTCCCTCTTGTTCTAGCTTCTCAACGAATATGCATTGACATGCTTGCTACACAGGCTAGTAACACAGGCAGGTGTGTCACGGTTTCAAGCAATGGGGGAAGAGAGGCAAGAAAACTAGGGATCTTGCTTCACTCCCACCCAACCCCTACCCCTTAGTAGATTTGATACTCTTCTCCGAGTTACACTAACAATTGAAACCAAGATGGCCACCTCATACAGTAAGCACTTGATCTTGAAGATCTTACAGGAAAGTAGGGGACTAAACTGAGTATTCTCAGGGACAAACAAAAAGGTTTATTTCATATGATTGTATACATAAAAATTGAAGATCATTCTTACCATTTTTTTCATGGATCTGTACTAAAGACTTAAAAGATTGTTGGGCTCTTACAAGGCTGTAGACACCAGGCTGTTAAAGCAAAGTGGGGAAAAAATTAATATTATTACATTTAATTTAAAAGAGGCTGTGTAACAAAATTTATCAAAATTCAAACAGCAGGAACTCCCGCCAAATTGAGTGAAACAAAAAACATTAAAAGAAGGTATAAATTAATTAAACTTTAACCAGCAAATTTTGGGGAGAATTTTTTTCACTGCCACTGTCTTGTGCTCACAACTTCTATACTACAAATCCTATGGTCATTAACTATAATTATATCAAAATGTTCATCACGGATTTTACCAAGTTTCTAATTTCAACTCTCAGAGGGCACTTGACTTCCAAAGTTGCTTCATACTATCGAGTCAATCGCCATTACTAGTCATACAAACTTGTTTTCCTTTGCTCGGACATTTATCTTCAGAATTGCACGTTTTGATCCATGTTGAAGGTCAGGTGAAGAGAATCACACTCAGTGCAATTCCTTAAAGCTCCACAGATGACAAAAACTGGATCAAAATTTACAGTTAAAAAGTTCAGTAGAATTAATGCCAGCTACTGCCAAAATCCACTCGAAAGTCACAACAACTACTTCATGTAAAAAGCATTGAAGCAGTCCAGGGGCCAAATCACTGAACTGTAGAGAGTGTTTACGCCAAGAGGGTCCTTCCGTGCATATACACTGTACGTACAATTGCCGGTTAAAGGGTTACCACAGCAAATGCAAAAGGAGGCACAGATGGACAAATTTGAAGTACATTGAAACGGATTGCAATTTTTTATTGTGGTTTTTGAAAACATGTTAGCCTAACAGCAAAGTTTTTCAAAGATCATTTTATTTTTGTTGTTTTTAACAATTGAAATTATTCTAGGGAGATATATTTTGTTTGAAAACAAAGTTATGATTTTGCCGTTCACAGGTAATTTCTCAAGTTTCACAGCAAAAAATGATGCATAACTAACGTTACAAACAAAAATATATGAACTAGCCAGCCGTGACAAAGCTCCTTTAACTTTATATTATTTATACACCTGACGCTAGTTGTTCAAAAGGTGAATAACGTTATCCACCGGATAAATCTCTATCTAGTGGATAACACAGTTGGTTTCCCTAACACCTATCTGCTGGATAGAGATTTATCCGGTGGATAGTGCTATCCAGCATTTGAACAACTGGGGCCTCAACAGTTTTAGCTATCTGGAATGACTTCAGAAATTATCTATATTTTCATGAGATAATAATTTATGAGTTGATTTGTTGAAACTTAAAATGAACAAAAAGACAATTGGCAGAGTTAAGTAAAATCTGAATGAAAACGTACTTATAATGTGTTTTCATAAAGGCCCACTGGTTTTACGTTATACTTTAGTCACGTGAACGCTATAAAATTATTTCAGTCATTTTTTCACAAGTTTCTTTATATGTTTACACAGAATTTGTTTACGTGCAAAAGTATGTAATTTAGTTTTCATCATTTATTTATTGCTTGTAGGAATTGATTGTGTGACTGATAAATTAAAAGCTACATTTTCTTCAATGAAAAACATGCTCTTTCGTCCTCAAATTTGGTCCACCGAACGCTGAAAATCGCATTTTAGGGCTTAAATTTCACAATTTTCTGGGGAACTCCTGCCCCTAAAAAGGGGACTAATGGCCTCTTGTTGATACAGTCGCTTAATCTATTCAAACCTGCCGGCTACTTCAATTTTTATTGAAACCCCTGGGACACTATTCCTTAAGCAATGCTTATGGTGTTGCAAGGACAAAAAGCCCATTCACAAAGAGCTTACTGTGCATGCAGTTGACTACTGGGCATACAGTATTACCTTTTTATTATCCTGGAAGTTAATCCTTGCTTTTCCTTTCACAAGTGTAGCAGCTATTTGCATGATAACAGCTTCTACTGTATAGGCACTGCTCCACCCCTACATGGTAAAAGTTAACACAAAACCTTAACAAAAGTGGTAAGGGTTATGAATAAGTATGACTACCTTTGAAGTGTATCTGCAGAATGTAACATCCCCTTATCTATTGAACTAAACATCCCTTTATCTCTTGAACTTGCCAAGAAACAGGCAATAGACCATTTTACCGATACGTCAGCCATATTGAATAAATTCGATTTAAGGAGTATTATAGGATGCCCAGGGGGCATGAGCATATTTCGTTTCTATTTTCGAGCGCTTTTCGGGACATTTTTTCTTAAAGTTTTCTTAGAATAAGATTGTAACGGGAAAAAAGATCCTTGTGCTGTGTTTGGATGTAATAATGATCGCCTTTTTCCCCAGAAATATAGAGTGAAAGACCATATTTCTAATATTAAACTAGAAAAAGGCGATCATTATTACATGCAAACACGGCACAAGGATCTTTTTTCCCATAACAATCTTATTCTAAGAAAACTTTGAGAAAAAATGTCCCGAAAAGCGCTTGAAAATACAAACGAAATGTGCTCATGCCCCCTGGGCATCCTATAATACTCCTTAAATCGAATTAATTCAATATGGCCGCCGTATCGGTAAAAAGGTCTATTGAAGATGATGAAATGAAATTGCAAATCGAACAAGGTAGGCATGTTTAGATTGTTTTTAAACTATGAATATTATAATGTTATAATGAATATTATAACAGTTACTGGATATAGCTTTCGCATGATCTGAAAAATTATGGAGATCTCAGAGGGTGTAATCTGCCTCAGCCAAAACCCACCTCAATCTGCATTATTATTTAGATCATACTCAGCCTCATTCAATTCAATAATTGATAATGAAAAAATAAGTGTTAAGCAATGTTGTGCCACTGTTCGAGGTACATGTACCTGTTTTAGCAAACAGTTAGCCCTCGAGCAAGCTCTCTAGGCTCCTCTGGCAGATGGGTGGGAAAAGCAAGGAGAACTTGCAACTACGTCTTTGGAATTTCAATATCTGCATCGAAAAATGTTGATGCAAAAGAAATGCTGATTGACCGAGATGACATTAGTGATGACATCATTGCCCTTGGCACATGTTTTCCAATGTTTGTTTACATTCGTGCTGATTGGCAGTAATCTGACAGCTCAGTTGACAGGGAGCCACAAGGGAATTGGAGGTGGAATTCAGATTCCAGAGACGTACTTACCAGCTCTCCTTCCTTTTCCCACCCCGCCACCAGAGTGCCCCAGAGTGCTGGCTCTCAGGCTAGAAAACCATTGACAAACACCGGGGCCAACTTTTTAATTTGAATGAAGGGATAAAGGAAGGGTCCAGACTGTTTTGTCTCTGAAATATACCTCATAATTACAAGAGAAACTCCTCCACAATTTTGTCGCTTTACACTGATTTTGATGATGTTAAGATTAATCATTGTCTTAATAGCCATAAGGGCGTCACACAGAAGAGTAAAATCCAGGTTAATGTAACTTGCATACCTGAGGCGTAAGAAGTTCCATGCAAAGTGCTCCTCCACTAAGAACATAACTAAAGAGGAAATAACAGTACATGTGTAATAATCTTGCATTATCATGTACTGAAGGGTACAAACTTGCATAAAAACAGGACAAATAAATAATGTGTGTTTTTAGGTGCTGTGGAAAATTATCTATTTAGTTAGCACCTGTGTTGTCCAGAGTACAAAGAAAGTCAGTTTTACAGCTTGCCGTTCACATTGGTTGTTGGCATGTAGGAAATTTGCCACCATAACAATGGCATATGTATGTACATTAACTTAATTGATGTGGCACATACACACTACACTGATAAACATAATAAATGTCAATAATAAGTTTCAGCATGGCATTCAGCACTTCCTTTTTGTTTTTCTTTTTACTTTTCTCTTGACGTCAAAGGCTACTTACCCAGCAGTTAAAACTGGATAAATGACTCTGACAAAAGGAGGATCAAATGGAAATTTGTCCTGAAATAAGGAAACACAAGAATGATCATTGTAAAAACATATCACAATAACTTCAAAGATTTTCAATGAATTTGGACTAGGGAAAACAAGTTTGAAGGGAGCTGGGGAACATGTTCTACAATTCACCAGTGATTTTTACCATTAGTGATATTCCTGGAATTTTACTAAATGCACCTCTAGGAGCAAAGATTATTCAATGATGTCACTCACTGTAAATGTCATATTTAGTAAGACATGATCTGTTTCTTCCTGTGCTTTTAACTGCATCAGATCTTTGTGTAAAGTACTATCAGGGTCAACTCTACAGGAAATAAATGCACATCATAGATTTTTGCCATAGTATTATCTAAGACATCAAACAAATATGTGGCATTCATGACTGTTATAAATGTAGGTATCTCAAAATCAAGAAACAAAGGATACTTCAGACGGCCTGCAAATTTTAACTGAGTGTGTTAACTGTTGTATCTGAACTATGTGGAACAAAATTGTTGTTGTTGTTGTTGTTTGTTTGCCTGTATTACAGGCACAGTGATCTACAATGTACAGTTAAAACACAATGGCCTATGAAGTCTGAGAAAACCTGCAACTCAACTGCAGTCGAACACGGTAACCAGAGCCACCTTAAAGGGTAAAATACAATGTACACATTTTACACACCTGATAATCTTTATTGTCCAGTCATATAAATTATCATTGTTGAGGGAGACAGAGTATGTCCCTAAAGAGAAAAGTTGAGTGCTTAGTTCATTGATTCTTGCCACGGTGGATCACCACCCTGATTGGGAATAAAATAGGACTTGTGCACCTTACTCATACAAGGCAGGAAAAAATATTTGAAATCCACTTACCCAGTGGGAAAATAAATTTCAGTTTTCACTTGCCCCCACTTTATAATATAATAAATTTAATATAATAAGTTATATAATAATTTCGAGTATCAGATTAATAGCACTCTTATGCTGTGACAGATACAGATTAACTACTGGATTTGACCAATATGATGACTGGAGGAATAACATGAGTAAGCAAACATGCACTTGGATTTTTAATGAATTCATGCTTTTAACTAATATTATTTGAATATATTGTGTCACTCAAATGATCTTGTAGCATTCAGTTTTGAAATAATTTCTGTCTGGAAATTATCATTTACCAACACTCACACGTACATTCAGACAGGCTCACGGGACCATTGATGCTAATTTCACTTGTCCACTAGGCCCCGCAAACTTCGATTAATTTTTACTTAGTATACCTGAGATCAAAATTTAGAGGTACATGTACTTGCCATGGGGAATCAGATCCCCTTTTACCCAGCCAACCCATGATACGAACAGTAGAGTTCCAATCAGTAGCACACTATACACATGTACAGATGTGTAACATGTTAAGAAAATATGAAACATTCTAAAAAACTTCAAAATTCTTTTAAAATCATTTATTTGCAAAAAAATGAACCTCTTTAACCAACCTACAACATTTAGTCCGTTTTACCTCATTTTGACTTAATAAGAGCAATTTCTGTAGTACCCAAAATGCATTGCGACCCCACCCATTTCATTCCATTTTATTCTCATAAAAATGTTCTTTTGAAAATAAAAGAAATGAAAGGACATACATTTTCGTTTTGGATGTGTTTTTATCAATGTAAATAAAGTAAATTATGCAGACTATTGTAGCCTTAGAATGTCACTAAAAACACATGTGTACTGAACGTTTTATCACGTGCTTTCGGTTTGCTGCATAACAATAAGCTTATGGAAAGTTCTTGGGTGGTTACCAAGGTCGTTGTTAAGCCTTCCTTCAAGATAAGGCGAGTGAGATGGTGGACAAAGTTTACGAGGCTGATGAGTCTCTTTGAGATCGATGTTGCTGAACGTAAACCAAAACCTTCAAAATGTTTAGTATTCAGTAAATTGCTTCTAGCGCACACAATTTCTCATATTTTTCCATGAAAATTACTATTTTTAATCGTTGTGAGTTGAGAATGACACATGAAAGAAAATCAGTAAGATCAGTTTCATGCTTCATGCGTGGAGACTGCTTGCATTTTGCCTTCCTTGCAAAAATCAAGTGTAAACATGGCGCGTTTCAAAATGTTTGGTAATCAGAAATTTGCTTCGTTCTCCGGATGGTAAAGAGGAATTAGGCTAAAATTTTCAGGATTGACTGTTGAAAAGGTGAGCATTCCAGTTCTTGAGGTTATTTTATCTTTGAAGCAATCTATACTTTGAAATGTTGGACGCTTTGCTGATTTCCTGGATTGAAACGTACAGCATGTCGCTGGTACACTGGTTCAAGAAAGCTCATTTTTCTCAAAAGTCGCTTTTTCTGACAGAGTTTGACCTATACACCTGAAATCTATGAATAATTTTGATTTATAAGGATACTAGTTCTGCTGAAATCTATTATGCTTAAAACATGAAATGTTACCAAAATGATAATTTGCTACGTGTGAATGTTACGCGTGACGGCCCGAATGATGCACATTTTTGTAAAAAATAAAATTCCAGAAAATTTAGAATTCAATAAATATCTGTGATTTTAGGCAAATCTGTAGTTCAACATGTTGTTATTGTTTGTGCCAAGGGACAGCTTTGTAGCTGTAAAAGTTAAGGAGATTTTGTAATTTATATGTGCCAAATTTTGTTTGTACGTGTGAACCGTGCTACTGATCACCAAATACCATGGTCTACATGTACATGTATGTTTGTCCAGCACTCTAATAAACTACAGGAGAGTGGGATCTTTTACAACCCACCAGACACAGATCAGTGAAATGACATGAAACAAGGACTATGGTTTTCTATTACTATCTGAGAAGACTAGAATGTCTACAGATGTGAAACATAAAACAGCACATTTTTCTCAGTTACATGTAATAAGGACCCTCAGTGTCTTGGTCCAGTTGGAAATTGAACTTAGGCCTATCACTTCTACGGTGTAAGAATCACATAACAGTACAGTGTACAGCGGAACGTCGATATAATGAAGGGCCAAGGGGCTGACAAAATTTGTTCACTATAACAAGGTTTCCTTATACTGAGGGTTCTTTTTCAAATATTTCACTGTTACTGGGGTAAAGAAAATCATTTGTTATACCAAGGACTTGTTATATAGAGGTTCACTTTACTGAAGTTCCACTGTAGATACATTCGCAATTTTCAAAGTACATGTACAATATACATGTAAAAGTATGTACAAAGGAAGTAAATTACTGAGATACATCAAAACCTAAGGTACCTCTTTTGAAACTGTCAGATCTGTACACATCCCTCAGTTCTTTCATTAACCTGTCAGTTGCTTGCACTGAACCACATACTGTTCCCTGACGTAAAAGAAAGAAAAAAAAAACAGATTTGAATCTCTTCTTATACAGTTGTATTGCAGCTCCTTTGGATAACAAGCGACCCGCACTTTTAGAGAGAGTTCTGGGTTTTTCTTAGACATCAAATTAAGCCATTACCATAGCATCCAATCAATATCATGGCTTGTCAAATATTGTGGCAATAATGAGCAGAAGCTGCAATTACTAAATGTTGGTGGAAATGTACCGATTTGTTTTCATCCTCCTACATCTGAGTTTCTTCTGGATTTGGAAGCTCTATATGAACAATAATTTCACCTCGTGGAAATCTAAACTTCAGGGCTTCTGATATTTTGTGCGGTTGCGGAGCCATGAAATTCAGGTAAATCCATGAAATCCCGCGAAATTCACCAAAACACACAAAATACCGTGAAAATCAGTAGAAATCTTATCAAATACATGTCTGTACAGCAATTTTGAAACTTGTCTTAGCTACTGAGGGTATTTACTTGCCGTAAACTCACAAATTTATGTCAAAACTTCGTCACTGAAACGTGCCAACAATGCTCCGAAATCTGTTGTTTTTTCACCGATTGCTTTCTGGCCAAGTTTGCCCCGAAAATTTCTGTGAAATCGGCCAATTTTTCAGCGATTTTGTCCCTAAAAATCACGCAAAATTTGACTTTTTTTCTGTGACCTATCAGAAGCCTGGTAACTTGCCTTGTTTCAGTAATAAGAAGGAAAAAAACTTGAGAGCTAAAACTCTAACGTTCAAAACCAATGAACCTTGAAACACAGAAACACACAAAATGGATCAAAATCCACCAATCACAAATCACATGACCTTTATAACCCATTGAAGTAAACTTCTGTTTCCTAAGAGGTCTGCAAAGATCTGTCTGAATCAGGAAAACTGTCCAAATCAGGCAGAAAAAAAACTAAATCTCTTGCAGCAATGCATGCAATGAATCTCAACAGAACAAACTTAAGAGCAAATTTATGACTGTTGACCAAATGTCTTGAACCACTGGGTAGAGCTTCTTTTATGTTGCTGTAAATTCAATAAGTTTTTAATAGTGTTCTAGGCCGAAAGAACTGATGGAGAAATCAAAGAATAAAATTTACTTGCAACACAAAGTCTGCCCATTTTTGTGCCTGACTGGAAATCCTGCAAAATTTCGTCATTTTCTTACACTCTGTCAGTTGAAAGCCTGTTTATTGCACTGACTGACCTTGAGATGGTCTTCTCTCCTGTTCACTCTTATCCTTTCCAATACTGCATAGTTAGCTGCACCAATCTCCTGAAGATCTTTATTAGAATCTGTCCTGTTTAACATCAAAACAATAATAATAATGCATCAGTAACTAATAATTTGTATATTTACATGACTGGCATGACAATAGTCTTTTCAACACTTTCTTGTCACTAGGGGGCTTTTTCTATTGGTCAAGCTAGCTTTTTCCTAAATTGTACCTTCAAAATTACCCTGACATGAGCCGGTCTCTTTCAGTTGATAGCCAGCTCTTAGCAACATATCACTGGTCAAATACATGTATAGAATGCATGTAGTTTTAAAGGTTGCATCATGAGCTTTCAATGTAGTGCGCAAAAGAAAATACTGTAAATTAATACAATACAATAAAACTTACTCTGTGTCTTCCTCCATTTCATAGTTATCAGAATCTTCACTGTCCTCATGCCCCTAAAAAAGAAGGCTAAAATTGTCATTCCATGTATACAATCTGCAGCTGTACATGTATGTATACAAGTACACTACATACTACAGTAGTACTACACTACATACACTGTTCTGCACTAGACATTCAACAAACACTGGAATTTGAACAGAGTATGCATGTCAGCTCAAACTTTTTTAAAAGCTCCTTTGGTTTACAGATTAATGTGTTGATATTAAAAAGCAGGACCACAAAATTTTAATGATATTGACAGACTAATACTGAATCATGCTGTGTGGAGTAAGGCTTGAGTAATAGCATCTGTGTCAGATGTTTCCCTTTACTATCGCTCTCCATTTTGATTTTCTCTTTGCCCTTGCCCCCAGAAACTAATACCAGAAACTCAGGGTACTTGTTTCCAAACATTTCTTTATACCACTACTACTACTGCTGCTGCTGCTGCTGCTGCTGCTGCTGCTGCTGTTGCTGCTGCTGCTGCTGCTGCTGCTACTGCTACTGCTACTGCTACTGCTACTGCTACTGCTACTGCTACTGCTACTGCTACTGCTACTGCTACTGCTACTGCTACTGCTACTGCTACTGCTACTGCTACTGATATTTTTATTATTAATTATTACCTTATTAAAAGGGTGCATACACGTAGCTTATTGTGCATGAACAGTTGTATCCTATACAGTACCAGAAGCCCGGAGCAAGCGACTTTCATGTACTTGTGTCAAGGCGTTTATACTGACCAGTTAATTCTAAGAATGATTTGATGTAAATTTACAATATCTTTTGAGTTCCAGAGGAACCAGTCTGACAGCGGAACCTTCGGACCCAAAAATTGTATTATTATTTTGTTCTTGTAATGACGTTTAGTTTCCTTTTTTACATCTTATATAACTTTGAATGTGCTCGATGATGACGTGAAGCAATCCCATCCATTTTTGCATCAAAAGGTACTGTTATTTAACCCTTTAAGCCCCAGTATCCACATACAAATTCTCCAAACTGATCTCTATACATTTCCTTAAAAAATGAGTGGAGAGAATTTGATAATAGACCAAGGCAATTTCTCTTGTGTGATCATTTTATTAATTCTCATAACTTATCTCCTGACAGTGTATGGATATTGTTTGGAGAAATTTGATCTTGGTCAGCATTGGGACTTAAAGGGTTAAGTGTATCTAAAAATACATGTAAACTGGTTGGTAAAAACACCATGACATATAGGCTTAGAATGAGAGTTACTTGCTCCAGGTTATGAGCTCCTGACAGTACCTCTTCTAAACCTTCATCTTCGCTTTCATCATCCTCTTGTGATGTTGTTGAGTCTTTCATCTCTACATCTTCCTGAAAATGACATTTTAAGGAAAATGAGTGACAACAAGAGAACAAAATTAGAGCGCTTAAACCTGTGACCAGGCATATAAATGTTCAACTGGAAGGTCATACATGTACCTTCCAAGTTAGGATAGGAGTGTGTACAATGCATATGTACCCTTGAAGCTAAAACAACACCTAGAGTATGATAGGCCATTTCAGAGTTCTGAATTATTTCTCTCACTTCAAAACAAGGCTAAGTGCAAAGCCTTTCTTGTAAAAATTTTGCTTGCATGGGAATAAAGAAACATTTTCATATCAATAGCATCGTACTTAGCCTCCCTTTGAAACAGATCCTTGGGGCAACTTTGAAAGGGCCCGTATACATCCTGGGGAGGGGGGGGCGGGTACTCCCCTATAAAAGTGACGGGGGTGCTTGTCGTACCTGTTAGGGGTTTAAATTTGTAAATTGGTTTCAAAAAGTCCTTGAGAAGAAAGTGTTTGAAAGTTGTTTTTATTACCGATTGAAATTTGCAGTGCCAGTTTTATGTCATTGTTGTTGAATTGGTAGCTCTTAGGGGTGAAAATGAACTTGGGACATGCCCATAAAACAAGATTCTGGTACATTTTACAGGGCTCGACGTTGCGACCTGTGGGGTTGCCAATGCGACCAGCGTTTACTCAGTGGTGACTAAATTTTCATGCCTGGTCGCCAACCTGGCCCCCAAGATAGGTGACTTTCCTCTTTGGGAAAATGTAAACTAATGATAATCTGTTATCTTTTACAAAACAAATGAATAGCTAACGGTTTTTCTAACGCTGTTACGTTTTGCCCAAATGCTCTAACGGTTAGGCCTAACCCTCTAACAATTTGTCTAAATGCTTTACCAATTTCTTCGAACACTCTTACCAAGTGTTCTTATGATCTAACAGTTGGTCTGTCTAACGTTTGATGTTTACTTGAAAGAGGATAGTGACTAAATCACAAGTGATGAATTTGACGGTAGTGTTCTCAACTTCCGGGCAAATTGATCGCAATTCTCAACAGGTCGTCCCGTGTTTCTCCGGGAATGACTTTTAGCACATCAATTTAAAACAATTTCATTATGTCAAACATGTATCTCGATTTTGGACTTGATAGCAGATTAGTCTGATAAAAATTAAGTCAATCGAGAACGAATGGCGCTTACCTCTCGAGCTTCTTGTAAACATGCAAATTTCTGTTGAGCGTAACAACCCAAATAAAAGCTCTGCCATATTTTATTGACTTCTAATGAGGTACCGTTGAAAGTCATGAGAAGCACCCAATGTCAATTTTCAGAAAATATCTGTTTGGAAGACGATTTGAGATCTAGAATTTTCGGAACATTTATTGAAAAAATTTCTTGCTTGCTGGCCTCTCCTAGGATTTGCGACCAGCTAAAACCTAGTATAATTGCCCATTTTTAACGCATTTTTACCCTAGAAAGGTCACCTAGAATTTTCGGGAGCCTTTTTTCTGGCTGAAATTTTCAAAAGGTAAGTTTTGACCCACATAATTTTCGGATCACTAGACTTTCAGCTAGGAAATCCGAACAGATGAAAAATTTTTAGGGGATAAAAATATGCCCATATCTACCGTTTAAATACTAAGATACGTTCAACAATGCTATGTTTAAGTGGTTTTGAACTACATTCTCGATGGGTGCCCCTGAGTCATGCTGTTTGTCTAGCAGACTTGTGAAATCAATTTCTTTGCCCGAAAACATTAGCAATGTTTCCTTTTTCTTGAGACTTTCCATCATGTGCTAGGCAACGAAATAGATCAAGTTTCACCGATGTTCATTTCTGAACACGCAAATACATGGGACGCAAAACAGATGTTTGCAGATTTTGTTCTTTAATAACCCAAATAAGTTTTTTTGTGATTCTTAAAGTTTTTTTTCTCCCAATTTGTATCCATTGCTTGAATAACTGTTTGAGGAGATTTACGCTTGAGAGTGGACTCATTTTCCCAAACACCGGCTGGTAATCGAGCCCCGAGGGAAAACCATTTGAAAGAAAGTTCAAAGGAAGTCTAAAGCATTTTTTTGTTAAAGCTAAATAAAAGATGTTTAATTAAATTGTATACCCTTAATTCTTGAATATAATTCTTGGTGACTAGAATACTTGTTCTGGTGACCAAAAAAAAGTTGCATACCGTTTTAGGGGTGTTCTCAAAATTTTCCGACAAACACTCCCATCACTTTATAGGGGAGTACCCCATTGGGATATGCATTGAACAGTGTAGCTGTAGTTTTTCTCTTGTTTTGGTTACTAAAGATGAGCCCCAATACAAAATTAATAGAACAAGAAGGCTTAACCCATTCGCCCCTGAACTGCCCGTAACCGCCCGTGCCGATCCAGGTCCTTTCTACCCTTTGTGACGTCATCAGTTTTAACGGTCAAGGACAACTTTCTTCGCTGACTTGTGCAGAGTGAAGAGATCTTTCAAAGCATACCAGAATGAGCACAATTCAGTCAAGAACACCGGAGAAAGAAGCAAAAAACCACGTGACATTGACCTGAAAATCTCCATGAAAATCTTGTTCCATTACCCACCTACCTTTCCTTTCACCTAATCCTAAGATCCTAAAAGCTTTCCTAAAAACTCTTCACACCAAATTGAAGCCTATTAAATGCCCAGCAAGAGAAAAAAAAATGAGGCAAGAAAAGCAAAAAAAGAAGGGAGGAATGGGTTAAACTACACTGTAGGAAACAATGCAAAAAAGCAAAGAAAAAAGAGATAGACAACTCCCTTTAAGTTGAGGTATGCAAGGCTACAACCAGACATTATTTAAGTTTGCAGGACTCCAAAATGGTATGCAACAATCACTAGAAAAGATAAATGGGAAAAATCTCAGAGGGTCCCTTGTATTTAAAAAATTACTTCCTCTGAAGCATGTTGTTTTGTAGTCCTTTCTTTTGTGGGAGGAAGGAAACTGCAACTAATGCAGTTTTATTTTCTTAATTAGCAGATTATTTTAGCTGTTTATTCATTTGTTATCTATTTATTTTCATTCATTTTATTGATTTTGACGCAATGGGCAACCTTTGCTGAGTACAGCCACAAATAAATGTAAATACTAGAATGCTAGAAATGGTTTAGATATCTGTATAAAACTAATAGATGCAATTGTATCATTTTGAAAAAGCCACAAGTATCCTTCCAGCAATTACAAATCAACAAAATTTCAGAAAAACTACATTACAACTGTGTGTACATTTTTAAAAATGCATGAATGGATATGTTGTAGAAAGGTGTTCAAAATTAAACAAGCTTTTATTTAGTGCAACAATACAAGCCAATATTATGTATGCAAACACACAAAATTATGCATGTTAGTATGGCACCACATAATGAACGTCAAGCCGAGTCATTCAATGCTTGTAAATAGCCATTTAAATTTCTCAGTTTGATCAGTGCATTTGCAAATATCTCGGTGCATAAAAGCCTCTTTTGATGCTTCTGCCTCGAAAAAATATAGTCACTTATTTGCGTTCTGTGGCTCACTTCCGGTTAAACACAATTTAATCCTTTCTTTTGTGCTGCCGTCGGGACAAAATGCCTCGTTTTCACACGGTTTTTCACGCTATTTTTGGCACGCTGTATCACTGTCGCGTCAATATAAACAGCACTTTTCCTTTTCACTTTCTCGGGAAATCAAGTACCAATTAACAAGAAAGGAAATACAAAACCTACCTGTATAAGCTGAACCAGATCTAGACTTTCAATATGCGGTGGTATTGGTACATTTTGCCATTTGAATAGCTCCTTGACCAAGTGCTTTGTCGAGCGAAGTAACTGCAAACCAGATGGGAAATGAAAGCAAACGTCACATAGCCAAGTCATTGAGAACTAAGCTTCGAAACATTTAAATAAAAAAGATCATTTGAAGCAGTAAAATCAAAGCAGGCTTACTAAATTCGGCGCAGAGGGCTCAATACAGCTCAAAGACTCGACAATTTGAGTGATTTTCGCGTCTTCACTCTCCGCAAACCACATCGGCGGCGGGTTGGGATAAGATTCCTTTTGGTAAATGATAAATTCGATTATAATAAATCTCAATGACACTATTCAATACCTTAAAGAACAACTAGCAAGTACAAAACATAAACGAACGACTTACATAGATATTGCAGTGAACTACGTGCTCGCCATTGGGTGCGAGAAATCGGTATGTCACTTCATCCAAACCATTGGCTTCTACACGGAGATGTTCGTGGTCCGAGCCAAAGGTTTTCTCTAGGATACTAAGCTCCCTTTTGAGCTCTTGAAACTTGGACATTTGCCCTGTCCAGGCAACAGCAAGAGCTACTTTATACTGGGAACAGTTTCCATCAACAATCAACTTCCATCCCGCAAAAATGAAAATTCGCGTCTTTGCGAGAGCCGCTGTGTACAACCGCTGACCAGTTATTGATACGGAAAAAACAGGGAAGGAGGGACATGGGCGGAGTCACTGAGGGCTAATCGGAGGGGTGCATTGCCCAGAGGGAAAAACACAATTTCGGGTAGAGGTATGTGCTTCCCTGATCTTGTTTACGAAACATTACCCCCTGCTTAGTCATACAATAAGAGCTGAAGAGCCTTAATCTGTCCTTGATTCACTGTTTGCCATCGCTAAGAACTGTTATTTGCAGGATTGCCATTTCCTCATTCAGTTGCCGAGAGAGCTCTCGTTTGACGCTGAGGGCGAGTATTATCAACAGTACAGTGTGTGAAAACGAAGTGATAGTATAAGAGAAAGAAGCAGGAAGACAGAGACTCCAGCAGTTTTCTAAAAAATCAAATTTAATTTACAAAATACCAAACTTGGCAAGTTCAAGTGAATTGATTACTGCTAAAAATATTGTATACCAACACAAAAGCAATTGACATATCTAAGCAGTAACTAGGACTGGATTCCCTTGAAACCAAAAGGAGATTTCTGGCATATACCAGATACTATACTTTTTCGAAAACTCGTTTTTTTTGTTTGTTTGTTTGTTTTGTTTTGTTTTGTTTGTTCTTTTTTTTTTGCACTCTTAACTAGAAGCTGGGTAACTTTCCTAACTTAATCCGTCCTTTTTCACTGAAAATTGTCTAAGACGGTCCTTTATAATCAAAAACAAAGAAGCAAAATTACTGAATGAGCCCCTATGGACGGGCTCATAAGACCCCGTTCACTAAAATATTTTTAGTGTGGGAGTTATGATTTCGGTATGATGGATAATAGTTAACAGCCAGATCTAACATCTCTTAGTTTATCGCCTTAAAAAAACGGCCTTGATCAAGGCTGCCTGTCTGCAGACCGCATAGGCGATAAGCGAAAGGTAAAACTTTGAAAACAACTAAATCAGATTCGGGGATGTAAAACAGCGAAATAATAAAACTGAAAAATATTCTGTAAGTGAACTTCGGAAGCGTAACTGACAAGGAACAAACTGTATGCGGCAGGCCTGAACAGCGCTTAATAACAATACGCAAACAGCTCAGTGTTTCGCTCTCACGCGAGGTCGTACTATTAATTGACTACCGTTGACTATTGCTGTTATTCTATAAATTTCAACCTGTGATAATTATATTCCACAAAACCTCTAGGGCTAACCAAATTGGGTCCTTATGTTTGTATTCAAAAACTGTAAAGCGCTTTTCAATTACGTGAAGAAATTGATCGATTTAATTCTTCCTTTTGTTGTTCATTTCAAATGAATGCGTGACAAACGAACCCCAAAGGACGTCTGCGGGGAGGCTAAAACTCATGCCAGTTTAATCCCATATGACCAAAAGCTGTACCCGTTTCAAGACTGAAAACAATTCCAGGAGGCTAGAATCAGTATTTAGGAGAAACGCTGTAAAGTAATTAGAAATTCTGACTGCCTGTCGATTCAGGTTAAAATTAAGCCTTTTAGCTTCGTCCAGAGCTTCTTTTTGAAACCTTTCTTAACTGCTGGGTATTACTTATGAGTCAATGCCCCGGGTTCAGAGCCTGGCTTGAGGTACAGACTTCCCAATGATTCGTTCATTGGATTGCCGCGTCTGTTTTGATTGGACAGGGCAACCTATCATCTTTTCACTCAGTTGAAAAGCGCTTTTCTGAATTATATGAATCCTATATATTGGTGATATATAATACTGCACAGCAGTAATACGAGTAGCGTCCAAAAAAGTCGGACTTCTGATCTGTCGAGAACAAATTAAAGGGCTCATAACTTCCGATGGTATTTCGGAGCTTTCGGTTTCCCTTCGTTCCCGAGGACTCTTCTCGCCGATTTTCACCGCTTGTTTCAAGGACAGAAGCCTGCGAACCTAGACGTATTTCTGGCCGTCGCTTCAACGGAAATACGTCCGCGCTCACAAGCTACAACGACAGAAGTTCAACATTTTACTGATGTTTGGACTTAGCTACAGTTAACAAGTAAACAGATATATAATATCTAACGCAACACCTTATCCAGCCAATGAGCTGCTAAGATGGTACTAACATGCCACCTCAACATGTTTTTTCTGTTCACACACATGAACCAGGGAAGAAACACCCCTGGAGATAAGGTAGTATGTGCCACCCAAAAAGGGTATGGTGCATGACCCCCGTTGATCTGAAAACACGTATAGATTTTGTCAGCTTATGATTGCCTAATTTTGCCCATCGTAATGGTCTAAAATTGGTTAAGGTTTTTGAATCAAAATATGACATTCGAGTTCAAATTATAAAAAAGTACTTAAATATTGCTTTGTTGCCGTTCTAACCAACGCAAAGATGACATCATTTAGGCCTACGTAAACTTCAGTCGTCGCTAATATATAAAATGGATGTGGAAAATGGCACGTTTTGGTCTGAAATCAGAGTATGGATTTGGAAACAGGTGGCACAGCCTCACCAAAAATTCCGAAGGGCAGAACCTCCCCAGCAAAAAGAGGAAACTGAGTTACATTGTATGAACTTAAATCTAGCTGATTTTTTTTTAAAAGTGGAAAACCAAAAATACATATGTGTCATTTCTGATTTCATCTGATTGTGCTCTCCACACAACAACTTTTGTGCAACTCCTAAAAACCTGTTTGCTAGATTTTAACGCTAAAGATTCCTTGAACTAAAAGACTCTCTACTTATTCTTCATAAATGCATGTTACGAATACTTAGGTTAAATAATCAAAGTACCCAAAGGCGGGAAACATACAGTGCTGATATAATGAAAGCAGCATATAGCAGATGAGGGCTAAGTCACGCCTATTATAGGTGATTATAGCCAATAACACAGACCGCTAGTGCCTGAAAAGAACTTTAAAAAAAATGCTGTATCGAATTTAAACATGCGTGCATTTGAATCGGACAAGTATGAAAATCAGATATATGGATAGAATTGTTCGTTGAGAGCATGTATCGGCAAAGAAACTTCGGATAACTTTTCCCATTTGGTCCTTGTTCATCCAAGCTGCTTATTTAGCGCTAGCTAGAGTGTTTCTGTTTTGTCAGCTAGTCCGTTAAAAATTAATATCTAATAATGGAATGGAGGGAATACTACGAAAATTGGTGTCATGACAAGAAAGTCATACGTAATAAGCCCCGTGCAAAGATCAACGCGACGCGCAAAGCAGGTTGGATGAACATGGGTTTTTAAATCACGGTTAAAGGAGCTCTGTCACGATTAAAATAGGCTCTATTGTCTTGAAATAAGGGTAGTGTCAAAATATTAGTTTCGTAAAATGGAAAACACTCGAGAGTCAGCACAGTCGAATCACTCAGCAACGGCCACTTTGCAAAGATAGCGGGCCCGGTAGTACTGAAGTGACGTGGTGCGTTGAAGAGAAGTGGCCATCATGGGGACCAAGAGGGGTATAATAGGGAATGAATGTTTTCGTAAAAGGGTACGTCAATTTTTGTTTTAATTTTTTTTAGTAGCATGCTATCAAATAAGACAATGAAAATATGTGATGGAATACGAACCAAATGGCTCGACAAAGCAAGTAAGGCATAGTTAGCATACATTGTTTTTACATCTTCGCTTAGGGTCTCTTACGAAGAGGTTATTTTAGAAGGAAGGTGTGTATAATTGACCGGGTTATGGAGACTCGTGGCTGTTGTAGAGTAAATATATGGACTGACTGGCGAAAAAAAAAATGCTACAACTAATTAAGTACATTAGCATAGACTAAAAAGGACAATCATGGAAAGTTTCGGCTCAATTTTCTAATTAACTCAAAGATGCACGAATCGTGAATTAGCTTCTGTAAGTAAATTTAAAGTGACAGGCTTCTAAACCTTCCTCCTGGCTTGCTCCGCAAACGAAATGACGGGCTGATAAACTCCTTGCTGCGAGTATCATCAATCAGAATGACGATAACAACCAGGCGGAACTTGTTTCGTCTCTGGGAGTCCACTGTGGACAGTTTGTATACTGGTACACCATGCTTTGTGGGTGACTCGTAGATGGAGTCTAGATCCACTGTGAAAAAGTGCTGCAAGGAAAATTTAAGTGAAAGTTAAACGGAGGAAGATTCGGCCTGAGAAACAGCAGACATTTCGTGACTCCACCACTAGTTTCCCCGCGAAGTCTGAGAAACGAGCGTAGAAAAATTCCTTACTGACGATGACGCGGCACTTTACAAAGATCTGGGTAGTGTTTCTGATTTGTGGAAGCCAATTTTCAGGCAATCTGAAGCACTACCAAGATCTGGGCATAGTGACACGTCATCAGTATGGAATTTCTGCGCTCCTTTCTCAGATGTCATTTCGCGGGGAAACCAGTGATGGCGTCGCCAAATGTCTGCCGTTTTCTCAGGCTAAGGAACCCAAGATTGGAAGAAGAAAATTTCCCTCTTTTTGCCGTCTTTAGAGTATATGGAAACTTTTTAAGCTGCTACTAAAACTCTTCACAACGATAAAAGAAATCTCCGGAGCGGGACCGCGCGATGGATCAAACAAATGTCTTTCATAACTGATAACTTGAATGAGCTCTGAAATGAGGTGATCCATTTTTTCCTGTTTGCATAAAGACAATTAACCTGAGTCGAAACTTCAACTTGAAGTTTGCTATTTGATTTTCAAATTTTCTCGTTACTGTAATTCAGATCATTGATATTACATCTCTTCTAGGCTTGGTTCACTAATTATGATGGGCCGTCAACCGTTTACGAAAGGAAATATTCTGCTTCGACAAAGAAAAAGCGTATAAGGCTAACAAAAACTGAGTGAGAAAAGCAAGTGTTCAACAGTAAACCACGCTGCGAATGAGAAGCAATACAAACAAACAAAAGTAGTTGTGCAGGGTTCTCTCTCCTTCTCTCTTGCCTCGAGGCACGAGAGAGAGCCCTAGGGACGAGGTTGAAGAAGAACGTGCGCGCTCACGAGTCTCAGATTTTAATCTTATTTCCAGGGTCTCCCTTCTTCCAAAATGACGAGATACCCTGGGGACGAAGTTGTGTTGATTTCTTTCTTGGTAGGATATCGATTGACCAGTATTCCTTTTTCTGATCTGCTTCTTACTCCTACGCTTGAGCCGTATTTACGTTATTTGACAGCTGTCACGTGATCTTACGTTCGATCGCCCGTCCCGTCCACTAGTTAAGTGTTGACTGGATATGAGACCTCACACTTACCCAGGCGCATACGCGTTGCACAAGAATCTAATCACAGTGCTGACAGGGAGGCTCGGATGGCTAAAAGTTAGTTTTCAAGTCATGCCGATTAAGCGTGTATTGATGAACGTTTAGTCATTCAATTTTCTTCAAGTCTGACTTGAAGTTGTATTATATTGCTCCCCAGGAAGCCCAGGATAGCGCACTCGTGGAGTAAGTTCAATTTCCGACCGCGCCCTCGGGTCTGTCCGCTGCTCCCTCGGGTCTGGGCTCGTTCTGGCGTGGTCTCAGTTCCCGAACAGCTGCTGGTAACTGAGCCTTAGCCTCGTTCCCAGAGTCTTCTCCTACCTGTTTCTGATTGGGCCCTGGGAACAAGGTTAATTGAGCGTAGCATTGGCGATGACGCAGACAAACTAAAATCCATGAGAGTGTAAACAATTTGATGAAGTAACAACAGAATTGATAAGAGCCCAAAGAAGATGACCAAAGCATAGAAGATGGAGTGTGACGAGAGAAAACCCCGGCACGCCTTGTTCATTATACTAAACACACCTGAAAATTAAAGAGGGCAAGAAGCATGTGCGGGGGGGTGGGGGAGGGTATTATTTTTACGAGAGAGTTGACAGCACTCATCTCAGAAGCCACTGTCGCTGTTGTAGCTAAAATATCAAAACATAAAATACTCGCTTCATCACGTTTTACTCCCGAGAAGGTCGGAAGCTTCAGCAATAGAGACATAAAATAACAGCATATGACAAAATCTAAGTTAATGACTAAACCACACTGAGAAAACCTAATCAATCATGCTGGCATTTTATTTTATCTAAGGTTAGGTGAACGCCCATTGCTGTATTTTACTATCATCTTCCGCTCGTGGCTAATTGCTAGCCCTTCTTCCTTTAGTGCTGTTACGTGCTTCAAGTCAGCGAACAAGATTTTGTAAGAAATCGAATCTGAATAATAATAAATTATTCTGTTTTTAGCTTTTCTCTATTTTCCTAACAAAAACTGATTTGAAACCACTGTTCATTTAAAACTAATGTCAATCGCCACTGCTACTAAGAGAATTGAAGGCAATGTTACACGAGACGATTTGCAAAGATTTTTAGCCGTTGGAACAATGTTGTGACTACTAGAGGAGATGTCAAAACAATATTGCAACGCTGTGTCAGGCTGTGTTACGCTGAAATGTACGCTATGAATTATTCCGTGTAACAGCGCCTTTACCAACTTGCAACCACGATTTTTAGGGAAACAATGTTGGAACAATATGTTGGAACAATTTGAAACACTGTTGAGTGGCAGTGTTGCGCTGAAAATCGTAGTTGTGGGTATGTCCCGTGTAACATTGATTAAGGTATTACAATATGTCCATTACCTGATGCGGTAGATACTTTCCTGGTTGAGACTTGAGGCTGACCCTTCCACACCTGTCCCCAACCAGGACAGCAGCATCAGGGGTCCTTTCCACGTATACTTCAATGGACTGGACTTGCGGACCTGCGGTGTACACTCGAATCTTGATTTTACCGTTCTCTACTCTCTGCCTCGACTGCCGGTTTGCACGTGACTGAGTTTTCTGATAGACAGGCTTGAGATCCGGGAACGTGACACTGATGTCGCTGTCCTCGATAGGTCGCCATGGTGACTGAGAACTACAACTGGTGGGGGACGTGGGCTCAGACTTAGTGCCTCCTTCAAATATTGAGTCTTCAACTATGTCTTCTACAAAAGGCAAGGATCATGTTTAACTTATTACTCACGGTGGCCGGGATCTAAGGAGCTCCAATTGTAAGATACTTGGAGAAAAACTTGACGGCCAAGAAGGATACCAAAAATGCTAAATACAGAATGAGGAATTGGGAATCTAACGATTTTCAATTGAAAGGATATAGCTCTGTATTATAATGAGCAACATCATGCCCCGAAATTGCTTCCGCAAAACATTACAAGTGCACGATTAAAATAAAAACGTAAAGAACAAAGAATAACAAAGACGATGATTTTTTTTATAACTGATTTTACTCGACTTCATTTAAATCAGAGGCTTTCACCTTTAAATGCCACCGTCAACACTCAGTTTTCCTTTTCCTTTGTATACCGTTATTGATGCTTTGAGTGTAGAGGGGGAGTGGGAGGTGATAATTAGAAGAGAGCCTCTTCTTTGAAATGGGAGCTTAGTTACTACATTAAGCCTCAAGGCGCTAAATCGCAGGGAGGAGTTTATTTAAAGAGGGCGCTAATTTGAGCATTTACTGTAACAACAAACCAACTATGCGTAAGGGTCTCTCTCAAAGTCCTTTTCGTCTAAGATCTAGAAAGTTGTGGTAATTTCAAATCCTTTTTACTTCTACACCGTACATTCAGTTATTTTCTCTCAATTGAAGAACGATTGGGGGCTGCGCTTATTTAATTTTTTCCGCCTCGAGAAGCCGCTTAAAAATCCGAGGATTTAAGGAACCGCACGGTTAATACTATTAAGTAAACGCACACACATGGGGTGGAGCTTGGACCTCTCTCGAGGGAATATTACCAAGTATGCTTCATAATAAGTCTTAAAATAACATGGACTGTGAAAGCATTGTGACATAACCTTAAAGTACGAATTGCTTGCTCCTGGCCATTAAAGGGCTCCCGATTCTAGTAACAACTCGAACGATGCAAAAGAAGACCGCTTTTGAATAACAGCTGCCTGCACTTCGAAGAGTGTGCCATTTTATTTACCCTACCCCACGTCGTTTCACCAGGGGTGCCTAGCTAGTTGTGGCTTAGTTTGTGGTTTCTATGTCGCAAAATGACCGTAAGCCAAAATTTCTGATTGAAGGAGATGAGGAAGTAAATTGGTTTTGAATTGAGAGAAAACTTGATCAGTATTTTTTTTTACGTTTGTGGTTCTTTGTGCTAAAAGCTCGTTAGCGTATGTCTCGTAGCAAAAGTAACTACATTACTGAGCTTAACTTACTGAGCTTACTATATTACGCACAATCTGATCGCTGGACGGTCATATTGTCCACAGTTATCGAAGGCACCTAAAGTGATGAATATCTCTATGGAATTTTTAACTACCTTCTAAATTGATTTCTTATTTTTAAACCAGAACTTTCTAAAGAAACTTGAGAATGTTAGGATATTGGACGACCACTTTTTCGAGAGATGTTTCAATTAAGATAAAAAAAAAAGAAATTCGGCCCAGATAGTTCTTTGGTCTCATCTGTCAGTCAAGTAGAAATGGATAATGGCAAACTGGTGCAATTCCGTAAATGATATGAATTCATAGCTATTGATTTTATTGTGTTTATCGTGATAGTTAACCCTCCGAGTATACATCAGTGGAGTCATTACGTATTATTCCATTTTCTTTTGGAAAGGAAATTAAAAAAAGGAAAATAGCACAATCATCAGTATATCTTAAAGTGCATTTAAAGGGGCTGTGTCACGGCAGTCCAGTTCATAAATGTCCCCTGAGCATTATTTTTGAAGCTGCAAACAGCAGAGATAAACTTTGAAAAACTGTTAGGCTGAACAGTTTTCAAAAATCCTAATTTCATTCTGTTTCAGTCTTCTTCAGTTTTGCCCATCCGTGGCATCTGTTGCATCTGTTGTGTTATTTTAACCTTCCTTTAATGTTTTAAGCGGTTATTTTTATGTTTCTTTTAATTTAACGGGCATTTTGCAATAGCCTAATTTGGCTGAATTTCGTGACACAGCTCCTTTAAGTACTTTTCGATCCATGACATGAATTGTTGCTGATCGGATGATATAAAGTGACAGACGAGGCATCAGCCAACCTTTTAATGGCTTATTATCATCATTACCGGCCCTCTCAAAACGATTCTATAGATTTCATGTTATAGAGTTTTAGCCAATTTTTAATACAGCCATTTATAATACAATTTGATCACTATTATCCATTAATTTTAATTTCAATAGTTTAAAAAGACTTCCACGATGTTGCTAAAAATAGACGAGACTGCCCGTTTTTAAACAAATCCAGTCTTGATTGAGTCGAAGCTACTTTTCGTGAAACTTCTATGAGGGCCCTAACTGCAGTTGTGGTACTCGGAATAGACAAATTACAATTCAATCCGCCTAGGTACCTTGGTTCTAAAATATACTTCTAAAATGGAGATGAAAAGTTGGAAAAGCAAGGATCTTTTAACGGCTTTTTTGCAAGAGATTGTTTTCAAGGAGTTGTTCCGAAATGAGAAATAAGTTGAGTGATTTTCAAGAACTGAATTAACTTTTTAGAGTAAACTGAGCCCAAAATAAGTATGGGATTTAATTTCACTTCCCTCGTTCTGTCAATATGGTTAGATGTCATGCCAGTTAAAAAAAAAAAGGAAATTCGCTGTAGTCACCTTTCATTTCAAAATTTGGAAACTCAGTCGCGGCCAGCTTTGCTTCTGATTGGATGGTAGAATTAAGCTGACCCCAGTGGGAATAATTTTGCCTTTCGCTGGTCCAGCTTCATTGTTGCCTTGAAATTCTTATGAAGTTATATAGCGTGATTTCAACTGCTTGTCACGTGACTTATAACTTCCTGTCTCGCTGAAACGCCTAATGTTTTGCGCGAGAAAATAATTCAAGGATAGGCAGTGAGGCATAAACGTTTCGAAATGCTTCCATTAAATTCAGCTTCCATTACAGTAATCCCCGCAATTCACAATTTTTCTTCCGTTCTTTTGAGCCTGAACGAACAACTTACCGGTGTAGATCTTTAGTTTTGTAATCTTCCGGTGATGAAAAAAAGGCGCATCTTGATCCCTGACCCACTACAATCTGTATATAGTTTTTGTCTTTTAACAGTCTGTTTTATCTTCCTTCCTTACGTTCGGTCTGAATAATTGAAGTTTGTTTATTAAATTTAATTTGCAGCAAACAAGCATAAGCTAAGCTTTACAAAGGCATGAATTCTTCCGAAACACGTCCCTAGCGCAATCAACTTTGATGATTCTATGCTAATTAACATGCGCCATGTTTTGGGTCCTACAATTATTCCTTTTGCATTCCTTTGCATATTGCATCCGTAGAAAATTAGCTCATAACAGCTTACCTTCTAGCTTCCAAGGCAAACCTTGTGAAATTAATTGAAAAAATAATTGCAGCTTGAAATCTAAACATTCCGTCTCTCCCACGAGGCTAGATTCCGCAGTTTTCAGCGTATATTTTTCCATGTCTGTAAGATGCAAAGAAAAAGTCTGTCTCTAGTCCAACGAATGCTGCAACCAAGTCTTTCACTCCAGATTTGCTGTGATGGCAAACGTTAGTCGGAATTAATTGTTTAAAATGTCAATTTTGCAGATTTTTGCCATAAGCTTTATCTACCTTCCAAGTGTCGTTGACGTAAATACCAGCTCAAATAGTTTGTGGCTTTTTCCTTCCGTGTATTTTATGTCCATTAACTCTTCGTTTATAATTAACTCTCACATAATTCCCCAGCATCAAGTGTAGCAATTATTATTACAGCTTAGTGGAGAGCCACAGTGGGTGGGAACTATCTAACTAGATGTAGAAAAGATTATTGATTGACACCTGTGAACTGTGGACTGCTCCTTACGATTGGCTCATTTGTATAAAAAGTGAATTTTTTAGAACAAGTTTGAAAACATTGTGAGCTAAACTGATCGATCGATATGAAGTTTGTCACCATAGAAACTATTCAGGGTTTTTCCCTCTTAAGTCTTCCGTTCAAAATGACTGAAGGCTCGCAGTTTTTTTATAAACTGAGCACAACTTATGCAATGTTCAAGCAAATGCCATTCAAGGTGATCTATAGCATTTTAATATCAAAATATCAATTGGAAAATATTTTGGGTAATCGAGAATTCACCTCGGTCAAGATTTTGAACTCGCGCCCTTAATGAAAAATAACGGCAAAATCAACAGTGGCCTTTTCATGACAGATAAACACCTCATTAATGCAACCGCGGTTACGTCACACTTTTCACGGTTCATGTAGCACATACAACACAATCTAGACTTGTGAAATAAACGGATTGAAAAGGGACTTTAAAAGTTTTTGAATAAAAGATTATTATATCTCACTAAAAGAAATCTCGATTATGAAGCAAATAGATACCGACTGTTATAAGGCAAACGTGAGCTAATGAGAGAAGGATCGGGAAATAACACAGTTTGTGCTATTTTAATTACGACTTCCCGTTTCAGCAGTGTAAACAATGCTGGAGCGCTGTAAAGAGGTCTTGGGGTCAAACCTCCCTTCGTTCAGCCGAAGCCAAGAACAAAATTTGCACTCTTTGTGCATTTGAAATGGCGCGTGGATCTTTTCCTGACACATTAAAGGATTTAACGAATTACTTCTGGTACCGATAGAGTAGTAGACTCTTACATGAAAGAACGAGGTTTGCCAAACACAGGGCAAAGAAAATTGTAAAAAAAAAAAAAAAAAAAAAAACCCCTTTTTTATTTTAAATTTAAAATTTTTTATCAAAAATAAATATTTAATACAATAAAAAAATATTAAAATTAAGAAAATTTTAAAAACTAAAACCTTTATTTTTTAAACTATGTTTGTTTTACTTTTTGGAGTATAGAATTGGGGACAAAACACCCTCCTTGCAGCCCAAGCAAAAAAAAAAAATTTGCCTTTTTTTGCATTTTAAAAGGCCGTTGGATCTTTTCCTAAAACATTAAAGAGTTTAAAGAATTATTTTTGGTACCGAAAAAAAAGTAAAACTTTAAAAAAAAAAAAGAAGTTTCCAAAAAAAAAGGAAAAAAAAA